TACCATAAAATTTACTTGCAGTGAAAATTAGTGTTAGCACCGCTACATTCAGATTTTACTGCCGACTAATCAATTCCCACCTTAGTCTTTTTCTTCTTTAAAATAATTGTTCTTCTTCTTATAGGAGGACTCGTCAATTATGGCACCGGTGGTAGTAGGAAATAAGCAGTGTCCCCTTTTTACATTTGTAAAAGCTTTCAAAATTTCTCGCCTAGATGGTCTCCCTATTTCAATTCTCTTGAACAGTAGTACGTTTTAGGCGAATTTTTTTGATTGAGCGATAGAAATCGTCCCCAGCTAACGTATCCTTGAGCTCTGGAAAAGAAATTGTGCAAACATATGGTGCAAAGTCAAACTTCGGCATGCTTCCTTTCTATGGGGCACAGAGGTAGGGTCTTGGTGGTCTGTGGCGGATAGCTGTCACGTTAATTTGTCAGGACGACCAGTCGCATCGGTTTCCAAACCGCGCGAACCAAAAGGTCAACATCGTGTGCGTGCGTTTATGATTATGTGTGTTTTTGTAGAATTTTTCTTGCGTCTTTTTTATATCGCTGAACCAAAAAGATGTTCTGCAAGGCTAAAGTGTTTATAAGTCTCAAAGTAGCATCTGTCTTCTCGTTTCCTTTTTCCATAAAAGGTACACATGAAAAATATATAGGAAAAAAATATATGGCCAGATTAATTTCTGCAAATCAAGATTCACGAAAATGCGAAGGATGTTTGTGTTGAGATCCGCTTGTACCATTTAGCGGGAAGCGTTGTGTATATAATTGTTTGTCAGTGGCGGGTGAACAGCAAATGACTACCGGGAGCGACAAATGTATAACTGTAATTTAGTGTAATCTAGATTTTATTTTATTTCACCATATGTATGTTGATTCAGTATGTATTGCATTGGTGTGCGTAAAAAAAACGAACGACAAAAATCAATTAGCTAAATTCGATTTTTTGAAAGTAATTTTTTTCGAAATGAATATACAATGGCAATAGGCAACGATCGGATGTGTTCCCTCAATCTACCCGCAGCTAATATAGTTGCAATGGGTTAAATTGTTATCTACTGTAGGCTAACGGCCGCTTGGTTTGTGCACGCGTCTAAAGGGCCCAGTTTACGACTTTTACTAAAGGGTTTACTAATACAGATGCATGATTGAAATATTGTACATTACGTGCGCTTATCACGAAAAGTATTAACGTGCACGATATCTATGTTTCATAGATTGCCAAGTTCTTTGTTATTAGTTTTTAACAAACGACTTCGCCTACCCATCCCTAGTCGGGGCCCCAGAATTTCAAGAGCACAAATTTGACGATTACCAGAAGAAACGCGCAGGCATTTACATTAAGGTTACTTAAGGTTAGATGCATATAGCTATAGATATATATAAGCATACACAAAATATCTCAAAGAAATGTATACGGGTCAATGTTTTCTAGGGATGTAATTCGTTAGGAATAATGAGTGAATCAATATTAAGTTTGGGAAAACATAATTTAGTTTAAAATAGGATGAAGCAAGCATGACAGTGTAGCAGAAGAGTACCGTTGGTAGTTTGAGGCAAATTACCCTAATACGCGACTTCTAATTAATAAGTTTGAAACGTTTAGAATGTTTGAAAGCAACGGTATTGAAGACTCAGAACATCAACGAGCTTTACTGCGAAGAAAGGGTTCTGGAAAATCCTAAACGCTTATAATACAATCGAGTCGCTAAATCTTTATCAATTTATTAGAAATCTCAGGGAATACGCTAGCGTCAATAAACTTTCTTGCGGGAATAGCTTGAGGATCAATAGCCCGCCGTCGTTACGGCAGACAACTGAATTATAAACTGATTGGATGAAAAGAACGGCTGTGCTAAGAATTGGCGCTTGAAGGAAAAGCCCCATATATATACATAAGTTAGTGTATCAGGGTCAGCTTACTATTGGCGTTTCACACTCGGTTACAGAGCAAAACTAGTATTTCTGAATACTGTCAAGTAAGACCTGGTCCTGTCTATGATAGACTGAAGTGCATCTCAATGGGAGCAAGAACGACCACACCAAGAACCCACGACCTCTTTTCCCCTTTTTCGCTTAATTGCGTCGAGCAGAATCCAGTTTCCACCAGCTTTTCGGTTTCATGAACGGTACACAAAAGCTTCTTGTGAATGTTTTCTTTGCTCCCGACACTTCACTTTCTGTGCCCACATGGTCCCACTACGGGTTCAATTATAGTGCGTCGCTCGAACAGTTCGAGCATCCTACCGTACGACACCACGACTGTCAACTATAACAACCTAGACTTTAGGTGAACTCGACAAAATTTACTTCCTCCTGCATCCAACATTCGAATAGCGTTTACGACGGCCACAGAGAATAGAGACGGGGCTGCAAAAGGAGCCGGACTGAAAGGATCGTGACGAGATCAGCTGGTGCAAGCCATTTGTACTGTGCCCGTTACCGTAAGAAATTTCGTTAGCTCACGTATCCAATGATCTGACCTAACCAATACTCAGCCGAATGTGGATCGTATGCGATAGAAGTTAAAACTTCGAAGGACCATGTAATACTTATGTGTTCAAAAAGAACTGAAGCTAAGGACCATAGGGTACTTCGTAGAATAAAACGCATAACCTTTATGGGTTGTTGCTGCGCGCGCAATAGCAATTATGTCTGGAATTTTTTAGTACGCAGAGCTCCGGCCTATTTGTTGCCATTTAGAGCTAGTAAATTGCTTTTTTCATGCATCCCAGCAGTAAAATGTAACGCATTTAGATCGCAAGTAAGCGCGAGTATACATCGGCAAGTACAAGCGGCAACCAAGCTATAATGGCTTCGTCATTTTTTGTCCTACTTGCCTAGTGTTATTTGTAATAGATAATTACGAAATCGGCAACCGAATAAACCGACAATGTGTAAAGTTTGCAAGCGAAGATTCAAGATATGCCATACTTAAATAGCAGAAATACGCCAAGAACTATCCTCTAATTGTTTTTACCTCTCTTACTTCGACTGCCATTTGCTCGCTTAAAGATGAATATGATGAGAAAGAAAAGTAATGTTGGTGATTTCCAAAGCTTCCGAGTTTGCAAACTATCCGTGACAGTTCAGCGGGTAACTCATTTGATTGCTAACCGTAGAGACGCGTTGTGGTCGAAGTTCGAATCCGGGCATAAACACAGTTTGTTTCGTGCAAGGATTCAGCCGTCTGATAGAATACCTAATGGCGATACCGGACGTGAAATTCGAAACACAGAGATTTATTAAGTTACCTAAAGCTGCGTGACGGGTTAATCAATTTGATATACTTATCACCTACGCACCAACAGCGTGAAACTACGTTACCTTTCACATCAATTCATTAGGTAGCTATGCCTATAAACCGATATGGGACTAGTAAATATAGAGGCAAGAATGAAAATTAACGTTCACCGATAAAATTTTGGTGTGGTACCACGGTAAGAGCGGTAACGTAGACCATTGACACCTGATAAAATAGCTGGGTAATACGCTTCAGCGGAACTTCAGCTGGTCACTGGTGCACGCGCTTTAAGAGCGAAATTTGAGAGATCAACAAACCATAGAGGAGGTAACTATACCTTAAATAAAAAAAAAAAAATAAAAAAAAGGAATTCCAAACTCAAAAAGGAGGAAGTCCAAAAAGCCTAAAAACATGAACCACGCGCTTGCTGTTGGCCCAGTATGAAATCCATCACAATAACTGCAATGAAATTGTAATGGAAGTGTTGAAAATGAAAAGAAGAACAAAAAAAATATAGGTTTTCATACGTCTATAATCCGAAACGTTGATTTTAGTATGGTCTTAACCTGCTCCTCGATGCCCCCTCGTGCTCTTCGATCTAGTAACTAAGCGTTGATTTTCAGCATCAAATAATATTTTTGCCTCTAAATTAATTTTTCGACATATAATAAACTTCTAGTCGTAAGTAGCCAAAAGTTTAATCTAACTATTAGGCATAGTTCGTTTTCTTGGTGCGTAGTTTATTCTATTTGCTCTGCATAAGTTAATATTTGCATAAATTTATATGTTTTGCGTAACATGTTCGCTGTATCGCTGGCTCTAACCACCGTTTCAGATATTTCCGTCTCCACATGTGCCAACCGCACACCCAAACTCTGAATTGTACTTTCATTTTAAAGTATTACGTTAAGTACGAAACACGAAAATCGTATATGTGCATATTTACGTATTTTCCTACTATCTTTCTTTCGGATATCCGACATTCTTCCAAGTTAAAGAAAGCCTGAACAGAGAGACAGCGGAATGTACAGCTGTCAGATTCTCCTTCCTAGGACTTCGGTGCCGTGTTACCTTAAAGGCGACTCTCATACGTCATCGGTTGACGTTAGCTGATAAAACGCTGCTATGTCAATATTTATGTTGACCATTTTCTGGAAAGCGTGGCTTTGCTTTCGGCGAGATGAAAAAAAAAGTAGTCATTAGGTGTGTCATTAAAGTTTAACCCATACCCGCTCGCACATCTGGGGTTTATATTACACTTTGTTATGGACATGGCTTTTACATGCTGGAAAAAGCTGTTAAAAAAAAGATTAGAGTTAACCGGCCGCATAAATCATGCGGTTGTTAAGGTAAATGCTATGCGAGTTGGAACTAAAGTATATATGCTACTATTTTCAGAGTGGATAGCCTGCCTAACGCATAGCGAAAGTATATCTGATAGTAACCGCACCCGTTAGTGTATAGCGACCCCTTATTTGTGCGGAAACCATAGAAAATCAAGCAAAATGCTGGAATATTTTTTCCAGTAGCAGTAGTTAAACAGATATTTAGATGGTTTGTGTTGTGGTATAATACCCTGTGAACAGAAAATTATAGTAACAGCTGGCCGTCTCGATACAAGTCCTTAAGTTAAAGATGCTCTCGCATTGCGCTGTATTAACAGAGTTATGTGAATTTTTTTATTAGGTATATAATTATATAGTTTTCATTAAGTAGATAGTTTAACGAGTGTTCTTTTGAAATTTTTACAACAGCATGCGCAATTACTGGTCAGTCTGCATTCGAAAAGTACCGTTGGCGAAGGAGTGCAGCGCGTTACTCGAAGCCCGCATTGAGGAGTTCGAAAGTTCGATGGCTAAAGGCGTCGATTGTTCCACAGTCGACTCACGAAGGTGCCCGTACCAGCCAGAGCATAGCATACATTGTATGTATACAAATCTGATTTTAAAAGCTTGAAAAAATTATCGTTCGGCGGTGTTAATTTAGCGTCTACTCTTGTACAAGCATGGCGGTACTACAGTAATTCTAGTCATTAGCGTATGCGTTTCTTTCCAAAAAAGACCGTCTCCAAAAATCTACTTTGACGAAGTGCACCTTGACCTAGCATTTGTTTATGTTAATGAACCCGAGAGTCATCGAAACGAGCTTGATAATAGCTGTCCTTACTTAATTATACAATAGCAAACATTGATTTAATTAACAGTTTTTAAAAGACAAACGGGTACCGCGCTTTTAACGCGCGAATCAAAATTGTCAATTATATAAAACCCTTATTATTTATTGCAGTTTGCTTTCGCTCTAATCAGACTTACTTTCTTTCTCTACAGGCATTTCTTTGAAGTTTTCTAGAAGCACAACGCTGATTCTGTTCATGTTCGTTGTACCGTTGCTCCATGTACAGCATAGACTATATACATTAGTAGATAGATTTTTTTAGAGAAACAATGCATCTACTACCTAGGTTTGAAGTACTATATAGTTACGTGTAGGGCTGTATGTGCTTCCTTTTAGCTCAAAGGGGTTTGCGCATACTTTGCCTAGCTAACCAAGGTCCACGTTAGAAGAAGGTGCGTAGTGCTCTGCCAACATGTGCTTTATATATTATGACATTTTCTTCATCCTGTACTCTGCTGATCGACGGAACGTTCACGGCCCTAATTCATTCCATTGGTGTTCAGGCGCCGTGGTTGACATCTATTAGTACCAATCTATAGGTCAGATGACCATTTGTACTCTATGCTCCTTGATATTCCTGCACTCTAATGTTCACGCGAATTTGTTATTGAACGTGTATCGTGACCAATCGAGCATGTATATGTATACGGGAGGCGTTCTAATTAGACCTAATTATTAATTCGAATGGGTGAGTCGCACCTTTCGCAGATTTCTACGGCCGCAAACAAACTGACACCGGCTCTATTTGCCACCAACCTCATCTATACGACACAAGGACTATTCAATTTAGCTGCGAGCGCATCTATTGGAAACATAGTACCAACTCTCGTTTTAGTGTTCTGACATTTTGCCAATCATTCGAACCAGCCGTTGTACCTTCACGTTCTTTTTCTCTGTCTCTTACATCCTTGACAGGGGGTGTGTACACAAACTAATCAGAGAGAAGAGCCTGGTGAGTCTGTCCAGGGAACATCGGCGGGTGTTTTCGAACTGCTATCGTGTTCATCGGTGCTTTGAAAAACGAAGCGTAGCTCCGGCAAGCTAAATTACTTCATGGAATTAAGCTGGGTCAACGAAGTGTACAGCAACAGAGAACAGAAAACGGAAGCTGATGGAGCAATCACGGGAGCCACTGTAGGGATTCTGGTCTATGTCGCTGCACACAATACTCAACATGTATGTTAAAAAAAATCCGATAAAACCTTCCGCAAGCTCGGGTCCTCCTTTTTTCTGGGTCAGGACTGTGTGTAGGTTTGCCTCTGAAAAGCCCTTGCGAAGGATTCGCAGCTGCGCTGCCCCAGCCCAATAGGATTTTTGACGTCTATCGGCCTCTCATCGTCTCTGTAAACGTTCTACGATACTTTGCAGCATCGACTATTCCTGCAATCTGACGGAATGAATCCGTCTTCCTGTTCTAATTAGCTCCAAGTTGATGACTGATTTTTTGTTTCGTCAGAATGTTGCCAACTGAGCAGTATTGCAATACAGATTCATTGGAAGTTTGGGGTAGCTAGAAAGTGAGGCTGGAGAAGTACATGAATTGTATCAGAATAGAGAGAGGATATGTCGGTTTTGCAACGTACAGAGGGAATGTTGACTCTACAAAAGATTGAGCTGTCGCTGACAGGAGGCTGAGTTTGGCTCGTAGCGACGGAAGCTTCTAAAAATTGGATCCTGAAAAGGCTGGCTAGATGATTCTGCTTCGGTAATGGAATTGGGGGCGCTGGTCGAGGAGGTGCGACGTTTTCTTGCTACCAGCAAGAGCCAGCTGAGCACTATAGTTTCTATTACTATTACAGCGTAGACCATTAATCTCTCTTTCTCTGCCTGGTTCTTTTCTCTCCGTTCGCCTCTCTTGGTGTCCAGTTCCTCCCGGAACGACCGTTTCCGTCAGCTGCAAATCCTTCACCGTAAGGCCAATAGTGTGCAAAGCTCTCTTTAAAGACCGGTTCAAGCAAAGAAAGCGTTGACAAGTAGGCTAGACGTAAAAAGAGGAAATGCGGCTAAAGCGGCCATACACGAGTGACCGTCGACTGCCGACGCACTTACCGTTCCTGCAGTTAATTGACTGTGGGAACAGACAAGCGAAAGGCCAAAGTTGGAAAAAAGTGCAAATTTTCTCACCAGAAAAATCAGTGATATCAATAGTCTACCTACATATTTTCCTGCTTTTGAAGAAACGACCAATGATGTCGGAAACGCGTCTTTGCTATTTAGGTTCTTGCTGGTTTTGTTTAGCGTTGATAATACTATCTACTAACGGAGAACGCTTCGAGCAACAAATGCTATGAACAATGAAACCTTATAAAGCTCTATAAAAAGCAATACACTATCACCATAATCATCGGCGTCTCTAAACTCACAATCTTCGCTTTGATAAAGCGGCAAAAATGAATTATTCTTCTCTGCTTCAAAGCTTCTCATAGTAGTTAATTACTAATTCACTCGATGATTCATCATACCTACTCGCATTGCTAGATTCAAGTACTTAATTCTGGTCAAGATTTCTGAACGGAAACACAGAACCTTAATCAATAGTTTTGAGCCGTTCTAAAGGACTTCTCGAGAAATTTGTCAATCAAACTCTCCAGAAAGCATATCAATATTAATTTCATTTCTTATCGCTCGAGAAGCTGCTTTTGAAGGTAGCTGTTCACAGCTTTCAAATTATGAGAGGTCACGTCTATATATAGACAACAACTGAAGATCTATATCAAACTATTGAAATGGAAGGAAGAGATGCCAGCAGCGACTCCTATTGACCCCGTTCAACTAGAGCCTAGAACTGATCAAACCATCGTGTCAGCTGTACGGGAGCCGGTGTTTATGAGCCGGTCTAATGATGAGAATAATGCTTCTCGCGCATCTGATCCGTATCAGCTAAGTTAATCGAATCGAAATGTTTTCCAAGTTACATCACTTCATTTTCATGCGGGAACAGCCTCAGGTGTTTTATGTGACATAACACTTGTGCTTGTTTCTATTTTATTTAGTTAGTCCTTCTGACTGTCTCTTGACTTACGTGAGTTCTTTACGCCCAAGGCGTCCTCAAACAGTGAGGTGATTACCGAGTGTCTATAGTTACTCCCTTCATCTAGATTGTGGGTTCGACTGAATGAATCTTTGACTCTATTGACAAGCCATGCTATATAGTTCACGATAAAATGTGCCTTAGGGAACTCCTGAGACAGTTCACCGGGGTCCGTAGATCACAAATTTGTCGGCTTTGAACATAGAAAGTTGAGAAATTGCTGCTATCGGACGTTCAAATCTAATTTCTAGCAACGCTTTCTAGAAAAATGGTTACATATTGGACATACAGACAAGATTGATTCTGAGTACTCATTGATGATTAGAAAAGAAAAACAGTTACGTGACATAATAGCTTATTTTTCTCCTAAACAATCACTACAAATAGTGAAGGCAATGCGACAGCAACTAACAAAAAAAAACTCTGATGTTAGGAATTCTTTGACGCATTACCCTTAGATCATTTGAGAATTTATGGTAAATTACTTCAATTTTCAATATGGCACGTTTTCTAGTAATTTAAGCGTGATTCCGCTTCCGAGAGAACTCTCATCTAAGCGACCTGTGTCAGCGATCACGAACTGATAAGTAAAAAGAACGAAATGGCTCGTGCTGATGTGCACGAACCCATTTTCAGAGATATCGAACACATGGATTATCTCACATAAGTAGTGTCAGGTCATTCTTCAAGATCAATGAGCCCCAAAAAGAAATAAACATTTGACAAAATAATAAATCTTTCAAAAACCATTCGAGTTAAACAAGAAAAACGATTTCTAGACGCTCGACCCAAAAACGAAAAACAGAGCTAAGGTCTAATTCTATAATCGAGTTGAAACTTGCTCCAATGACAGAAGAAAGAGTCGTATGTATGTATTATGTCCGGCAGGAATCACTTTGAAGTGAACGAGTGAAACTTGGATAGTTGAGGCGTATGTAGTTGGGACCAAGCCTCAAGTATCGGACCCAATTCTACACTGAAGTTGCATTCTATGCCTTTGCAGGCCATTCAGCAAAATCTTAGAGTGCCGAAATCGATAACAAATCGAAGGGATACCATTTAGTACTGCGCCATACATAACCTTCAATAGCTACACTGTATGGAAAAAACAAGGTCTGAATGATTGGCAGTAAACGCCATTTTATTATTACCTCAGCCAATGCTGGAATAACTGTATGTTTCTCTAATCGATTTAACTTCATCTGTTCCAATAAACAGGTATGTATTCTATCGCCATCTCCTGTCAAGTATAACATATACGTCCTCAAACAAAGCAAGTCTAACTAAGACTATTATGTTGCTCAATGTTTTTGTAGAAACGAAATTTCTACCATTCCTGAAATCGTTCCGTCTTGAAATTCCTTCAACTACAACACGTAAACTAATGAAAATCGATGTACCGCTGAGTGAAGAGTTTAGTTGTTCGATACTTGTTCGAAAAAACTTGTTTCAATACGCACTAGTCCAAATCACTGCATTGGACGCTGTATATCTGTCTTAACGAGCTCTTTAGTATCACCCACAGGCATCCTGATAGTGTACGGCGCTTGTGCATCCTTTCAAGGACAACAAAAAATTACACTCCCTTTAGCGAAAGCGAATTTGTTATAAAACCCCCAAATCTGCCCGTGGGGGACCTGTTTAGCCACGGTATTACCAGGGACACTGTAGTGAATAGATCGACCAGACATCGCACGTCCTTAGATGAACGTGCAAATAGATTTTGAGATATCAGTGCACCTGGTGCTCCAAGCCAGCGGGACTCTGGGCTATAACATGTTCGGCCCTGTGAGTCGACTCATTGTGAGCCACTTGTCAAAGTTAACTTTCTTCCGCCGTTCTCCGCGATATATTATCGTATTGAAAAAGTAAACTTTATGACGATCATTACTGACGCCATTGGTACCAGCTAAGTAAGTTGAGAAATGATGTTTTATTTGACTTCCAGTTAGCACGTCCCTCCTCGATCTACCGAATTCTCCTTAGACCAACAATTGCCTGGGTGTCCCTCGACACGTAACTAAGTTGCATTATATATATATATATATATAGTAAGCTGTTGTATTGTATTGCTTTGTCTCATCTCCACGTCATCATGGGTACAGACTGTAACAATTTCAAGTTCAAAACTATTAGCAGCGACAGTGGGAACAACAGTAGCAGATGAGGTTGCTCAGATAAATGAACCCGCCAAGCTATTGTGATAGTTTCGGCGATTTAGAAATTCACACGCGGTTCGTCACACGTATTTTGCTACTTCTACTGCTGTTAGCTGGAATATGTGTCATAATTTGCCCTATACCGACGTTGCGTGACGGGAGTCAAAAACGGAAGCGCAGGTAAATTATAGGGCTGTGATCAGCCAATTGCATCGACTACAGTTGTGACGTAGTACTGCGTAAATGGTGTTCTTTTTCTCAGATCACCTCACACATGTTTTGTGCGGCTGTTCTTATAGTATGGGCACGTAACCATTTTTCTCTCAGAAACCTTTACTCCTGCACGCGTCGTCGATGTTGCCAAAGCTAAAAAGGCATACAGGTTCATAAGAAACAAAGGGAACTGGATTTAAGCCAATTTTTGCTATTCAGTTGACTCGGACAGATCATGCGATGTTCCGACCCTAATGTACGGCAAACAGAGTACTTATTTCCGACGCTCTCACTCTCAGCTGGTAGTAACAAGCGCTTTTACGGAATATTTATTGTTCCGATAGCGACCGCCCCTTACGGAGCTACGTAGCCAAAAAAGTATTTACTTATAATAGTTCGTCTGTGGAAACGGTTGTCCGAAAAAAAATGTTTAAATCTCCAGCAGACAGTGTTCACTTCGATCGACCATAATAACACAGTTGCTTTACGGCACATCCTGCATCGATAGCACAGACAGCGAAGATAAGAAAAGCACCCGATGGGGTCGAACAACCCCAAAAAAACCAAAATTCTGTAGTTCCTTTCCATCCCGTTCTATTTAGCTAGATGTGCATTTGGTGGATGCAACAACATGTAACGACGGGCGATTTAAGTAAGTCTTCAAACAGAATAATAATTATGATAGTTATTTATTTGTGACTTTTTCACGGGTCTTACGTAAACTCAGCGGAGGTCAAACGTATGTAACAAACGTGCACTCTTAGTACTAATGGTTAATATAAAAGCGCAGTAGAATTCTATCTGATGCAGACAGTTCTGTAATTGGTCTCAGTTCTGAAAGCGAGTGAAACAATGGCCAGTGTATTAATGCACCATTCGTTTTTTACCGTCGAACCTTGCAGACACAGCAGTTAAGGAACGCTCACAAAGATATACCGGAACAGCAAGTAACATTAATGTAGGCCTGCTGACTCCTGTCCTGACAGTTGCCCTAGTCGTGAAGAACGCAGCTGCGCGAAACCTATAAGACGTTAGGACTTCGGAACCACAAAGGCCACCACAAATTTATCAAGGCTTACAGGCCCTAATCAAGCAGACCAGCAACTGAGCCTAACAAACATACTATCCACATAGCCACCGAGATATAGCGTTGCGCATAACAATAATAATAGCATTCATGTACTATTTATAGGTCAGGTCGCAATGAAGAATCCTGTTATACATTAGTTTAAAAAAAAAATGGGTCTGAAAGCAAAAAAGCCAGACGAAACAGGAAGTGAGTAAGGCGAAACATAAGTTAATGTTATTGTTTATTCTAACGCAACGCTTTGCGACAAGTTTAACGACAATGGCTTGGCACCCGTGGACGATTCTAATTAGAGTTTGCGTGTGCTATGTACCAAAGAACTCAAAAGGACGCAAGACATCTAGCGAAGGAGCATACTAGTTAGAGTTATACTCTAATAATAATAATAATATATTATGTCTAATAAAGTGAGATGGTGGACGTTCCGCTAACAACGAACGTCTAATTGTTGTAAATGAGCCATTTGTAAGCGTGTATATACTAACTTTAGGTTATGCTAGATCAGCATAAATAGTCGACAGAAGGACCCCTGTGGTATAGTTTTTCAAGGACGAATAACTAAGGACATAGTATACAGAATCGTTGCATATGAGTATTTTATCAAGCAGCCAGAAGTGCCATTACGCAACTCAGCCATACAAATTGCTTAATATACCTTTCAAATAGTATTCGACCGACTGCAATCGTATGAACGATAGCAGCGGGCTCCGTCTTATGATCGAATTGAAGCGTATGCTTCCGTAAACGAATGTTATTTTGATAAATATTTAGATCAGTGGGGGTCAAATGGGCTCCTCCGTAAAAGCCGGATATTGCAGGACTTTGCGATTTTCCTTTTCCTAGCCTGTTTTTTTTTTTTTGTACACAATTTTCTCTATATATTTTTGCGACTTACATCGAAAACGTAGCTGTGGAAGTAAACCTCTTCAACATCGGCCAACTTAAAGCAAACTTGTGCTTTCGTTCCTGCTGTTGACCCTGTTTGTATCTAACGTAACAGACGTTGTTTTTTTTAGAAACGTGTTTGCAGCCAATTCGGCTACGTGCGCAAAAACCTTGTAACGGTTTAAAGCGATGCCCCCACAGACGACGACGACGACACGGTGGTAAGGGGACGTCCCGCAGAATGGTGTCATTGATCTCGACAGCCGTTGTTGCGGGGTCAGTAAGAAAATATCAATACGTTGATGTCAATGTGTATTCGCAAAATCAAGTGCTGTCATATTGGTTTTAACTGATTAAAAATTTCTATTATTATTATTAAGGACGAATGTTTATGCACGCTCATATATACAAGTCATATATAAAGTGAACAAGTATATGTTAAACATCAGAAAATCTACGCTATGACGAAAATAAAGTGTAACGTATTGTTATTACCGATCCAATTGTTCAAGATCAGTATTATTTGAACACAGAAACTGTTAATTTATTATCGAAATAAACAAAACCTTTGATTTTCCAATAAAGAAATATTAACAAAATTCTAGCCCCGCAGTCGCCTAACGTCGTAGCGATAGCGTTTTGAACTGCGGCGTCGCAGGGGCAAGATAATTATTATGTCATTTCGGAACGAAAAGCACTTTAATTTAATTTTAGTTTTCTATTTAACTATTTTTTCTCGATATATAAGGTCCAACATAATCTCTATACGAGCGAAACGTAAACTTCATAAGGATTTTGTTGTTGACATTGTACGACAAGTACGCTGAGGCTATCGCAAGGAATATCATAGTAGCCATAGCAGTATTTGAGAAAATGCGATAAAAATATGATGTTACGTACCGAATGTTGCCTACGGTATAAATACGTGCAACGTTCCATTACAAAGAATTTGGGATCGGAAGACCTAGATTCGTTTAGCGATGATGATTCTGTCGGTCATTATAGCAGCTTTTAGGGCAGTCAGCGGAATGAGTAGCTGAACATTCATGAAGACGCTTCGTTCTCACGCAGCGGACCGTGGAGCTGCTGCGTTGATACCGATTTCAAGCAAAATCCTATGGAAAATAATTGTATTGTCTTTGAAAAACGATCTATTATGCATGTGGCCTGAAGACGAGCCCTGAGGCCGTTCCTAATATGTCGAATTTGCATCAATCGTACCATCTTTCCTGCCGGAGCAGCGCACTCTGTCTCTGTGCGTTCGCAAACGCAAAAAGTTCTCTCTTGCTGCTGTAATTTCAAGATGAAGCTCGATTCTCTGAAGTTCTGATTTTTCGCGCAAGAACAAAGACGACGACGACGAAGTACAAAGCCCAAATAGGCTTACAATAATCAACTGCTAAGTTACTGCATTATCTACGTCTGAGGTAAAAATGTATAGTTCGCTAAATTTTATATTTAGCCAATTGTTCTTTAACCATGTTTTTTTTTTACCAATCATCACATTAATTTACTTCGCATTCTAATTGGCATCTTCGCTTTCATGTGTCCTTCTAGCTTATTTACCTTTGTGTCTTAAAGTCCGTAGAATATGACTTCTTCTCGATCTATTTTAAATCGTTATCGTTACAGGTAGGAGGTGATAAAAAAACAGCTTTTTATAATAAGGGAAAACCTGCTGCATCCCAAATAGAAAATACTATCGTATTGGGAACCTGCAGCGTTTTCACACTATTCATCAACGGCTCACAAAGTTAAAGGAATTGTTTTCAGGACCTCGCAAGACGATTCTGCTATTAGCTAACACAAAAGTGAGGGAGTATCACACACCTCTCGTGAAGCCTAGCCCGATGTATCAGCCGCAAACACATGAAAAATCGTGACCCACGAACATATTATACAAACGAAACCACATTAAAAGCCGGAAAAACCAGCGTAAGTCCCTAAAATCGTTCGCCGTGTCAGAAAAATAGAATAAAATGAAATGCCACTTATGTTTCGTACACTGTGGCGTACCGACCTAGGTGTCATTCGTTCTCATACGTTCTCTGACTTTTGTTTTCCGTTGAATGCAGAAGCTTCTTCCCAAGAAGATGGGGCCCATTTACTGCAGGCTGCCTAGTCCTCCCACAGACTGACATGAGCATTGGCCTTTGCGCCTGGCAGAGCCTGTTTAGATATTTATAAGCTACGAAACTGTAGGGACAATTCACTCCTCGCTAAACTGACTGATACAGCCTTCAGGCTGACTAACTGCTTGAAATGCGGCATTTTGTTGTAACGCCAGAAACCTGTGAAGGGTCACAAATAGGCCAGAACGAACGCAGAAAAAGAACACGGTGGAGATAAGAACCTGTAAAGTCGTACCAATGTTTGGAAATAGTACCATTCGGTACCTTAAAAGAAGGTTGTTTAGCAGAGCGGACATGGTTATTCATAGTACAGATAAAGCGAAAAGTGACCCTTTGGATTCTAGAACTCTTTAGCAGATCAGCTGTTCCGCCAATTTTTCAACCGCCGGCTTGTTTCCCTTCGATATATTCGCAGTCACTAAAAACAGTAGACAGGTCTCTGATGGTTACGATTATGGTTGCCTAACCGGACGGCCCACACGTTCTTACCCCTCCTATTGTCTAAACGCGACTGTTACAAATAGGATCTTCACATGATAGATACACATTATTTAATATAATATAACCGAGATGTGTTACCGAGTAAAGAAACTATTTTCTAAAACTGTGCGTAACACAAAATAGGCAAATAGGTCGGTACAAACCGACCAGCCTACTGCCCCGAAGAAATATTCTAGAGGCGTTTGCCTTCCTCATTTTCTTCCCGTGCCGTTCCTTCGATGTAAATCGCAATTTATTCGTTGTTCCCAAAAACCTCAGCAGTTTCAACCCCGATATCAACAGCGTAGCGAAATTCTATCTACAGTTACTTTAGTTAAACCGTAACGTTTCAAAAGTTATTTCAATCTGCGCTACGATCCCATGTTTGCCAGCTGTGAAATTAATCTTAGGTGTCCTATAGTCTCCTGGCACGACCTTATTGACAACGCTCCTTGATATTTCTCAACGTATCATCATTCCATCCTTGCTATGCGCATTAGTTGTTTCCAAGTAACCTACACTTTGAACTTCCCTTCAATAGAGTCACTTTTACTGCCTTTACGGAATTCTATCGTAGTAGTTAAGACCAAAGCAGAGGTCCCTCCGCATACACCCTAGGACTCTAATCACTTCCTCAGGATTTATATTGAATCCCCGTGATCGCTTAGTAGGTGACATATTTGCTTTCTAATTTTGGAGACACGTTGTTGTCTAGGTTCGGACTTTGTTTCATACTGGGAGCCAGCGGTTTGATGGCATGCTTACGGAGGTAAAACTCAAAACATGGAGTATACATATTGGACGCAGGTTCCTCGATAAGCCCTCAAGAAAGTGTGTCACTGGGACAAACCGCACTATCATCGCATATTACAGCCCTGGCTCGGCAAGTAGGTGATCGAAACTGTATTTGCGAATACGGTTAACGATCGCGATTCAACCCATCACAACAGATGGGGTTCTCGCAACGTAAAGCGCTAAGTTTAAGCTCATGACATACTGAAACATACGGAGCATGTTTTCCCCTATGTAAGCATATGATACGACACGTTAACAATCAGTGTAACTTTTGATATGTTCCAGAACTTACTATATTGGCACAATAGTATATAATATATCGCAAAATTAGATTATGATATAGAAGTAATTTTTCAAGGTGATATTTAGCTGTGTTGCATCTGCACTACGGCATTTTTTTATAATTAGGCGTTAGTCGGAATGGAATTGTATCTCGCCAAACCTTTAAATATCAGAAGCTGGGTTATTTTTTTTTTATACGAATGAACCTTACGTTTTGCTTTTGTCGGACTTCTTTACTGCGTAGTTCTGAAAGTACACAAATTATCAGGTTAGGATAGGACTTCGAAAAAATAGTGCTCCAAAGCTGCGCTTCGACGAGAATGACTCAGGTAGACTAAATCAAGTTAAGTATACGTGTCTTCTGTATTCATGCGCTTGATCCACATACAAATGCCATTAAATAAATATGCTTATAACACAAGTCTGCTTCAAAAAATTCCCTGCTATTGCTATCGCAGTCTGTTTTCCTACGTTGATTAAGCATGAGGAACGTATGGTCAGTTGCAAAGTGTTTACATGTGTCCTTTAAATCAAGTATTCGATGTGATTAAAATTAAAGAAGAAAAAAAGGCAAGAACGCTACAATGTTAGATTCCACTAGCGTAATTGATTTTTTAAGCAGGACTATAGTGGGTAAACCCTAAAGGACAAATCTTTACAATAGCAGCATCATCTATTTGGCATAGTTACACCATATATTTGACATCGATGCCTTACAACTTCGCTTTAATAGAACGTATTCGATTCAATCTGATTGCGTGGGGGTTTCAATGCCGGAGCTTGATTTTCTACTTATTAAAGGATCTTTAGCTATTTACATGTGCTTCGTTTAATTCTTAAATGTATGATCGTGCTTAGGATGTATAAGCGCTTTTTAAGAAGCTGTGATGACGCACTTTGTGAAAAGAACGTCCCGAAAGACCTCCATCGAATAGATTACCTACACTAAGGCCAGCTCATCAAAAGCCAAAGATGAATTGGTTTAAGGACATTCTACCCAGCAATAGAACCGTAAATGCGGAGAGCATCAGACCCACTCGCAAACAAAGGCGTCGCTAATACGGGTCGTTTCAGACTCTCCTTTAATTAAGACTAAGAAGGGTATTCAAATTTCATATTATCATTAATAATATACCAACATTTAGGGAAGTCTGTTATTTGAGTTTGAAAGCCTTGTTTCACAGATCTACGCCGACAAAGAATCCTCAGATTGCGTTAGTAACGAGATATTTGATTTGGAAAATGTGTAGGTAAGTGTCGTTGAGAGACCGAATGTAAATTGTTTTTTAAAAGTCTACACATGTGTTTCAGTTGCACACATGCGTCAGTAGACAAGTTTCTTTAATTAAATACGCGGTTCCTAGTGTACCGTTGTTCTAGTCTATCTCATTTTGTATTTTATTAGTAGCTTCTAAACGTTCTCCTTCCCGGTGCTTATATGCCCCTTTTCTATTACTCAGCAGGCTCAGTATTCTCATCGATTGAACTAGATATCTATGATTTGTCCTCTCGGAAGCCGTTCTTTGTTATAAATGTGCTCCAAAAACAAGTTAACTCTTTGTGGAGTCATTTGATGGAGTTGTGCGAAGGATTGTAGAACATTTATAGGATTCGGTCGTCAACAGAGTATGCTTCTTCAACGAGGACGCCGTGTTTATACCGAGAGCAAATCCTGCTGACAGTTGCTTCAGATACTTATGAACCTGGTAAATGCGACACGGAAACGTTCATTTGGTCTTGAATCTCTCAGTTTAATAATTTCATAAACGAAAACATTCTACCTACTATTAGGATATAAATCGAATCTTTTTCGGTTCGTTAGAGCTTTTTGTTTTGTTCAGATTTGCCTAGTGATAAGCGATTGCCTGTTTGCATACGGAGTTACACACACACACACACACTTAATTAACGCCTTTTTGTTATTACTATTATGCACGCTGTTATTATTTTTTGCAGATATTGATTTAGACTTTAGCGCTACTGTTTATACATTAACGCGTACAGCAGCTGATTGTGTAGGTTTCACAAAGGCTTGCCAGTTTTTACGGAGAATATCGATACAACAATAAATGGATGACATGGGGATGCATACCATCTCTTTCTGGGTTTAGAAAAAAAGCAGCTATCATTTCGGACTGGAGCTTGATCGTTTTGCTGAATGGGACGAAAGCCAGAGACCCCACATAGATCGAGCCGTCGGATGATAAATTTTAGCTAGCGCGAGCCCAGCCGCATTAGTACTACTACTCCGATCGAATCACCGCATATACTATAGTAAAACTAATGAACTTTTAGATGTCCTCACAGAAGGCGCAGTAGATAATGACTGCGGGAGAGCATGAAGGATGGATTAGCCATGAATAGGTGCTTAGATTAATCCAATAAGGCCGACATGCCGACACACTGCGTGTAATTTCAGACGGAAGCTTTCGTGCTAAATTACTTTCGTCATCGTATTGAATGCTTAAAAAGTTTCCTGCGCCGAGGCCCGGAGTAGGTCATTGGAGAATTCTTTTTCAAAGTATACGCGGTAGCGGTAAACTCAATTAACAACTAACATCCAAACTCAAAGAGTCAGATTTAGTGGAGGTGAGCGAGTTCCCGAAGTTGAGACACTTACGATGCTTGCAGCGTATCTAGAAAATTGAAGCCACTCTTCTGGGTAGAAAACGTTCGAAGCCAGTTGAACGCTGCCGACTTCACGAATGTATCGACCCGAGCCTGCTACTCAGGCTTTTTTGTAGCTACTGTCGTATTTATTCAACGTGAAGGAGTACGTAATTATGTGGACCGGGTAGTTCTGCCATGTTGGAATTTCTCGCCTGGTTTTTTTTATCGTACAAGAAAAGATCCTTAATTTCATGCCTGTAACAATTCCGTGGATTTCGAAACTACGTCCAGCAGAAGTAACAGCAGAAAGAAACAAAGCCAGATCAGAACCACTGGGTTTTCTGAAAATTGTATTTCCTCTGCGCAAGAATAAAAATGCCTTGCATTCAATCGACAGTTTAACAGACATAAGTCCGTAGGGTATTAATGTCTGCTATTGGGTTTAACCTTATTTTTTAACTGCTAAAATTTTTTAATTTAAAAGCTAGATGTCTTTAGTTTGTCGCAAAAGGTCAAAAACATAGATAATATAAAGTCAAACTACACTCAGACGGGTTGAAATAGACACCGCCAGAAGTTTTCATTTCTGAAAAAACCATTAGAAAGTGCTGTAAACCTAAATACGACATTTGCAACTAAAGAATTACGCTAAGATTGAAAACGTAGTAAGGCCACCGTAATTACTATTTCTCTTTGATATGTCTCTCTATAATAGAGTTTTGCTAATGTAAATAGACCTGCAAATATAGCTCTGTGAACTTTTTCAAACCGTAAACTATTCGTAAATGATTCATAAAACCGTAAATTCATAATAAAAATTCATAAGAGTATTTTATTTCTATTAATTCAGAGTCCTAAGATTCCACGACTCCATATGCTTTTCGATGCGCTGATGGCACCCTGTAGACTCACCTTTCATTTAGCCATTGTCGCTTGTTTTCGTAGAAAAGTCTGCCACTTCTTGCGGGATTTAACTGAAATAGTTGGCACTACCGAGAAGCATAACTTCTTATATTGGAGCGTGCGGGCTGCCCATTTATATACGTGTCATATAGCATGGTATGTAAAACAGTAACAACCTTCGGAGGTTTTGCTTTAGCTATCATGAGTGAATGCATAGTATTGGTATAAAATATTTACTCACCACGTTTACCCCGCTCTTAGCAGATTGGCGACAGTCATTTATGTGTATGAGTATAATTGTCATATAAGGTTATTAAACAACGTCCAGTTAATAGAATGATAGTAGGATTACGAGTACGTATACCCCAATAAATCTGCAATCGTCCGCTAATGAGTAAATTTAAAGTTTTTCTTTTTTTTTTTTTTTTTTTTTTATAACCAAGTTAACCATTTATTCATCTGGCTTTCGTAATAGATATCGTGCCTTTTTTATCGAGAGCATTAAAAGGACGGTTCCACAAAATCGAAAATATTCCCCGTATGGTTTTCTGCGGGAATTACTTCGAAAAAACTTCGCCTTTACAGGCGCGTGCAGTAAAGTAGCCTGGTATGCCGTACAAATACTACGGTTGACGTCCATAGATCAACGACATGCCCACTAACCTGTGACAATCAGTGCGTGCGACATGCCACATCCTTAAGTAGGTGCCGATAAAAGTAGTCAGACGAGGTAAAAATTCACGAAACACGCAGCTTCTCAGTCGAGAAGCTGCACGTGTGCTGAAAATGGAACTCTAGGTTAGCAAATTGACTTTGCTGAAACTAGATCATCTCTACTAGGTGCCTTGAATTACTCAATATAAATAATTGTGTAATATCAAAAACACTACCTAGTGAGAAAAATTCGTGATCGTACGAGTCTAAAGCTAAATTAAATTCGTGATGCAATAAGGAAGTTATATAATATAGCAGTACGGGCAATAACTAAGCACCTTCAAATGTATTTTAATGCAAACACACTCACTTTACATAACGAAAAAATCTCTGGCTGTAACGCGCCATAAGTCACTGTTTCCAGCTCGTTGAAGTGGTAGATAACTGTAAAATTTAGTTGAGTCAGAGACGTAGCCATAGAGGCCCAGTTTTCGTGGGGTTAAAAGCTGACCCACGACCAAGTTTGTGTCACTATACGTACCTACTTATCTGCCATCAGTTAGTTTAAAGTAAGTGATGGGTGCAGCGCCTAGATCTCAATAGTGTTTTAGACTCAACAGAAAATTATCATTATTGAATGCAGTGCACAACTTTTCTAGTAGTGCTACAGAGATTTGATTTTCTTATTTTCACGTGGACCGCAATTTTTTGCTGCTAAGGCTATGTCGTCACTTTAAATTCGCGTCGATTTTTTGTCTGTATTCTCTCGGTGCCTCGGTATAAATCGGTGCCTCCATCCACCGCATATAAATCTATGTTCCCTCATTATATCAATAGTATTACGTGGCCCTTGTTTACACGTTCATTGCGCGCATCTTAGTCATGCGCCTATGTATTTTCCACTATAAACGACAAACACAAAAAACCTTCTAAGGCTTTTTCGTGTTTTCCAGATCAACCCTTCAGCACCTATCACATGGGTCCTGCTAAAATGCACGCTGCACAACCCCAATAATAATTCAAGCCATCCCTAGTATCCATCAAGAGCCGACTAATCACAATAGTACATATTGCTCACATCATAACTGTGCCTCCTTCGTGTATTGGTGCTTTTAACAGGGCTGCAATGGTATCCGATAATACCATCTGTTAAATCAACAAAATTTGAATCGGACTGTTACGTTGAAGACGCACGTATGTGCAAGACAGGGCTGAGGGTAAGTAAATCGATAAATAGGATTCCTAGAATACAAAAGTTAATTTCTGCGTGGAAATTTGGGAATGGAAGGCGTACACCGAGGAGTGATAAGTCGATTACGCAGAAGTGTTAAAATGTAATAGTATAGTATATTTAATAAATGTCAAAATTTCTACGGAAATGACAGATTAGAGCAAAGTACCCCAGTGCAATCTGTAAGGCTCTCCAACAGATTCGTTTTTATTGACGGTTCGAAATAAGTACTAATGTTTTACAGTGCATGTTATATCGATGCATTGAAGTAAGAATAAGAATTGATCAGATTGAAAAGGAAGGAGCCGTAGGCACGTTGGCTGGTTAACGTTGAGTGAGAAGCCGTACATATATATAACCACAATTTGATCTCCTCTCCGCCAAAGATCTTAAAGACTTTCTGGACTACCGCCGCCACTGACAGTAGCTCGGTGAGATCCCACAAATCAAGGGCTACTCGTAATGCTTATCGTCAAGGGCGTGACGGTTCTAGGCTTGAAGCCGAGCGTAAATAATCTGTCCTATACAGGCGACCGAAGTAATGCTTAACCGCAAAAACGTGAGGGCATTACTGTCTGTAGAAGTCACGCTAGCTCGCTAGCGAATGCTACTGTTCAGTCTCTACGTATCATGTATATCTTTTCACTAGCGAGTTCAGCAGGTGGAATTTCTCCAAAATATACATCAACCTTCGTTACATGTACCTATATTACATTACAGATTTGCTATCGGGTTTAAAATAGCGAACTACGAAGTACAACAGTATACTTCTCGATGTGTCGACAGTCAGCCGAAGAAAATCGTCAGAATTAAGCGATTTACGCAAGGCCCATCAATTCTATTCGTTTTGTTTGGAGACGAACAGAAAAACCGACCGAGTCTGAAAACAGAGATTTCCCATTGACCTAGTTCACGTGTCTTGCCTGTCACGTATAAATTACGACAGATTTTTCCAAGTCGAACTTATTTTTTAATCGCCTAAACTTTTCCATGGCAAACTATGAACTGTACCTTCTAGAACAAACATGTTCTTCATTGGAAATAAAAACAGCTCCCAGCGACAACCGAACTTCCATATCTGCATCTTATGGATTAATGAATATTTCTTACTTATGAGTTTGATAATGTACCTTTCTCATTTGGTTCTGCTGGACATGACAAATACTAGTGAATTCAGCAGGGTGACGTTTGTCTAGCAGTAAGCTTTTGTGACTGTTCTAAAATGGAATAAAAAACCTTCACCTACTGCTTAGTTTACTTCGAAGAGTTCAGCTCTTCCTCTTGACCCCTCCACATTTGTGGCTCCTTATCCCCTAATAATTAAAAATGAACAGTTGCAATTGGCTCCTCTTTCGATGCCTATGGAACTACTATGCTTTTCATTTTTATAAGAAAATTATGAGCTTTCTTGGGACAAAAACACCTTTTGAGTATATAGACTATGCAACGTCAAAGCTGATACAACATGTTGAGCAGTTCGTTGCAACCGATTGGTCTTCTTAAAATTCGTCAAAACAAACAAAGAAACGAGGCTTGTTTGTTTTATGCACGTAAATTGAGTTGCTGTTAAGTTTTTCACGGTCTTACACGTTCGAATTGCTGAGGACTAGACAAAAATCCGTTCAGGCCAGGCCATATTTGCTATGCATAGAGATTGGTTCAAGGACGAGTAGGACGTGGCTCTTATTGTGAACTGTGTTGCAACAATAGTTTCGCGTAAAACCGTCCCAGTGATTAGAGGACAATAATGGATTGTACTGTCGTGCTTCTTTAAGCTTCTGTCCTTGAAGACTCCTACGATCTGTCCACAGTCTTTTCTATACCAATACGGTTTAGTAGAAATGTGTTAGGCTGTATTGGGTTGTTTCCTATAGAACGGTGAAGAACTTAGATAAAGATAGTGATAGGACGGAAGTAAAGAATGAAACTTCTGGGACCTTCGATCTACGGCAACCACGCACGTGCAAATCGGTGCATTTCCGTATCTGTAGCTCCGGCAATCAACTAGCACCCATTATTACCAGTAGCCTTTTAGGCTGGTTTTTATAGAGCATTAAGTATAGGACTCTGCCACTCCTAGTCCAGGTGTGTCCTTATATTTCACATGTAGTGTCATAACGGTGCTGAAAATGTCGCCCCAGACTTAGGAACAGAATATTATCTTCTTAAAGTGTTTATATATTTACTCATGTTGAATTTGTATTCGCTAGATTAGGCACGACAAGCAACTAGGTTGCGTGGAGGAGCGGTATTACATATTAAGCTCTATTTATTATCATTATTGTACACAAAATCCGTCGACGGCCATGCTTTGGGATGGCTAACCAGTTAGACACTTGATTTTCGACAAAAGGTCCCGGCTTTATCTCGAGTTGAAACCTCGTAATAATAGCAAGTTCTGTGTGTTGCTTGCTTTTAGACGGGTTCCTATACGACGACTGTTGCGGCATATTATGCATACAATCATGTTTATACATTTATGAAAGTAAGCTGTTTGCCAAAAAAAACAATCTTCGCTAGTAATACTCCCACCGTCTATATAGGTAGCCTTCCCTTAATTAGTGTGTCAGCATCGTATCTATAATAAAACTACTTATACATACTACAAAGCAAATGCGCATTTTGTTAATAGAGTACGCAGGCGAGCTCGTTTAGATACGCCCTAACGATGCCCTAAAAACGGGACAAATCAACTAAAGTTCTATTATACAATTATTAATTTACAAATTTTGTTGGCGGTGCCCCTAAGTCTCTTCGATGTGCAATTATAGCTTTGTATGAGCCGAGTACAACGTAATGTGAAAATTCTAAAGACTGCTATATTTGTAACGTACTACATATATATGTACATATGTATACATATATGTGTTAGCTCTCGACCGGGTGATCCTTAGGCGAGGAGTGATAACAGCATCTTTAATTCCCGTTTCTGATTCCCGCCAGCTGATTGTACTGAGCTCTAGGTACATAGGGTGTCGTGAATATCTATTAAATGATTAGACAAACAGGGCGGTTTGTGGTCGTGTTGATGTGCGCCTGTGATCGTGTACGTGAGTCTACGTTTGCAACGAACGACAAATGATATTCTAATTCGCTTAATAATTTCTACCTAACTTTTGTGCAACACAAATGTGTTATTTTTCTAGACAGACACATGTTGAGACAATGTCTCGTTTCGATATGATATATCCTAAGGGATATGCAGCATACTAATAACACTAATTTGTTAAAGAGATTAATAAGAAAAACAATGGCAAAATAGAGTAAGAAGCAAATGCTCATCCTACATTCAACGATGATGGTACATTCGTTGGCAATCATTACAGCGACTGACTCCACTATTCCTCATAATAGAGTAATAATAATAATAATAATGGCAAATTAAGAATTCCCCATCAGTTGCCCTCTTAAGACTCACAATCGACTCTTCGTAATCACACTCACTTTAGTCAACAAGCACAATTTCTCAGAAAACATACGCCAAGCATTACTTAAGATCGAATAACTATTTCGTAGAACATTGTTCAATAATTGCCATTAAGGAGGTCCTTGAACGGGCCTTCGACGCTCGAAAGCTCCGATGGTACGCCAAACTGAACAATCTTGCCTTTACTCATAACGGCCACGAGGTCGCACGATTCGACGACAGTCTGCACGCGATGAGCGATGTAAATCACGGTCGTGCCGCGTAAAGCGTTTGACGCCAGTGTCCTTTGGACCATCTTCTCTGTTTCCATGTCGACGCCAGACGTCGCCTCGTCCATGCACAGCACTCGAGCTTTCCTCAAAATTGCCCTAGCCAAACATACGAGTTGGCGTTGGCCCATACTTAAATTCGCGCCATGCTCCTCAATTCGAAATCCATCCAGTCCGCCATTCTGTTGTACTGTTACATTCATCGAGCACGTGGTCAAAGCGCTCCAGAGATTATGATCCGTGTGTTCGTGTCGTGGATCAAGGTTGTCACGCATGCTACCGACAAAGACGAATGCCTCCTGTGGGATACAGGCTAGACGTTCGCGGACGACCCGGCTCGGCACCATTGATAGGTCGAGCCCGTCAATTCGAATGACCCCAGATTTCAGCGGTCGTAAACGGAATAGCGCTTGCACCAAGGACGATTTTCCTGCTCCGGTTCGACCGACCACACCAAGACGCTGACCAGCTGGGAGGTCGAACGATACATCGTTCAGTGCAACAGGACCAGTGTTTTTGTAACTGAAATACAGCAAAGGGGTAAATTTAATTTTAGCTAGCCCAACAGTAGCTGCCGTCGAAAATATTTCAAATACGATATTTACTTTTATTTAGAATTTACAGTCAGCTAAAGGGCGGCTAACAAAAACCATGGATACAAGCGCTATTACAAACAGCTCCGTTGCATTTTATCAACCTCCGTTAATTTCGTTACCGTTTACCGGGATCTGTGTCCAGCGCCGTAAGTCTTCGATGTAGGTTTTTGCATAGACAACCTATAGTCGCCTGCGTTTGTCTTTTTTCATCAACTGCATCTTTTTATCTTCCGTTACCAAAATCAACCCAGAAATAGAAATGTAGACGCCGGCAAAAACATGCATGTCACAAACGTAAATAGAGGGTAATCTAAACAGTTTGCTGCTAGGCTACAATGCGCAGATTCGGGCGAAGTTAGATTTTCAGATGAAACCACCTGAAAAGTTTAGCACGAGGTTTGGCCTCTACGTCGAAGTTACATCAACAGACAATTGCCCTGCAACCGCACTGCTTTTCCCTAAGCCGTTTAACAAATATCGCTTCAGAAACTTGGATGTCTCATCAGCGTCGTTTTGTTAATTCGCACTTCCTAAGTAGAAATTATTGCCTTTACTCAACACTATACACAGCGTACACAACAGAACTCCCCATTATTATCCTTCGGTAACTTTCGCCGATTCATTTGCCCACCAGTAAGTGGATCATCGACTAGACGCTGAGCGACCGTTATTCGTGGCAATATCGAAACAAGTTCCTACGCGTCTCCCTTTTCCACACACGTAGGCGACATCGTACAGATGAATGCAGTGCCTCAATAGAGCATTCCACTTGTGTCCCGGCCGGGTGCGTAGGAGGTCACCGGGGGTTTGGCAGGGATGGAAAGGACGCATACGAGCGGAAATGCGGCAGGTAAGTTTTTTGCCGTACAAAAAGGCGGTTCCACCAGAATCGAGCCTCTGAGGAGGAAGGAGTTGCTTCGCATTTTCCGAATTTTTGTCTATCCTTCCCTTGCGCCTCAGTACACTGTGAAACTGCTCGCTGGTCATGCGCCTTTAGCCGCGTCGTATTCAACCGCTCGTAGCTTCTTGTGTCACAGTTCGCCTTTTCATTTTAGGCCAGCTAGGTCGCCACAAGGAAGATTCGCAGTCGTTCTTTCTATCCGCCTGAATCCCGTCCTCTGCTACAAACCACAGCTTTAGGAACGACGGATGCTATATGACAATTGTTCGACCGGACGACCACTCACATGGCTGTACCATATGGAAACATCATGCTTCCTTAAAACTAGCTCTACAGCTGGTTTTAGGGAAGCATGATTCGCAAATACTATTGAGCCTCGCGTTTCGCTTAGTTGATGTTCAGCGACATTCATTTAAATGCGACAAGCGTCTAGAAAAAAAATGCAAATTATAATATTCGTAAGTGAACTCTCGTGTAGCTTCCGCCGAACCCGTTTGAAGAAGAGCATCTTTTTTTCTCGTAAACTTTATAAAAGGCCAATGGTTCGCTTGGATGCCGACAAAGCAACGTTCTGTACAAGTAAAGCGCTCGTTAAAGAATCCTCTATTAGAATGGCGTTCATTTACCGCAGCAACACGTACTACTCCTGTAGGCAGTTACAGCGATTTGTGTGGAAATGGCTGCTGTTATGTCGCACTGAAATTCTCTTAAGACTAATTCTGATCTTCAAAAAAAAAGTCTATAATTACCAATCCATAATAGAGTAACCTAATTAGTTCTCTCAATCTTAAATTAACTACAGTAAGTTATGCAAACTTGAAGCGCATTTTCAGATGGCTAACCCGAACGTGTCTTCCCACTGGGCTCTCTTGCCGCAAACGACCCTCCTTGTGTCCATATCCTAATCTGCACTTATAGTACCTACGTGCACTTTAATTGAAACAGATCTAAATCATTTCATTGTAGCGTGGCCCGTTAATTTTTCAGCTGAACTAATCCATCATGGTAAACTAGACCGGTAGGATCTATTATGCTTGCGGTAATCTATAGGTTGAGTGCACATATACACACGGTAGTGGTATATTTGTTTTAACGGACAATGACACTATCAAAAAAACAACCAGAATAGAGTCACTGCAGTAATAATATAGCGTTTTTTATATAATATAGCGTCGTACAGTTTTACTTTGAATGCATTCATTGAGCGTGTACGTAGAAACGTCACAAACCAGTTCTATGTTAGTTAATAATAACGATTAGCCAACATGAAGCCTCAACTGCAGTTCAAACTTGTTGGAATTGCTGTGTAACTTTAAAATACTAACGGTAGAAGTCATAGACGATATGAACCTACTGACCTGAGGACGACATTATTAAAGTTAACCCATCCCAGGTGCGGCCATCCAAACGGGACAGAGTTGGCTGGCCCTACCGAGTCACCCGTCGAATCAACTACCAGGTTTGGCAATGTGTCAGATGAAAGTTCTGGTGAGAGCTCGCTACTTTCAAGATACTCTGCGATACGCTCCACTGATACCATTTCGCGCTCAGTCTCTGCATAAGCAGTCACAACTCCGGACAGTGTCGACGTTAATGACAGCACGTACGATAACACAAGTCCAACCAAAGCTGGATTCACGCCTATGAATCGGGAGAAAAAAAGATACGGGGTTTCAAGGAGTCGGATACAGAGAGAGAATGAAGGAAAATCAATAAGCAAAAGTTAACAGGAGCTAAATCTTTGCCTTCACGTAATTTATGCTACATACGTTGCTGCCTTTGCTTTTCCTATTTAGCTTGCTTGTTCGGTCCGGCAAATCGGTCACTACTAACCGCGTGTTTCTCCTGTAGTGGGATCAACCCGGTAATGTTCAATGACAGATAGGAAGGCGACACCGGCCGTTAAGGCCACACCAATCAGCTGAAGCCGTAGGCCGAGCCATTGCGAAGCGGCCACCGATGATAGCTGACATTGGTTATTAGTGTTTAACCTAAGGGAGATAAAAAAGCTGCTACTATAAAAAGTGTAGTAAATCTGCACTTAAATCTCATGGTTAGCTTGCGCTAATTAGCTCCTAAAGTAGGCGCCCTGCAACACACGAATACTGCTCACACTTTGCTCATCTATCTCCCTAGGCACTGCGATAAGGCTTCATTTTTCCAGTTTTTTGTGCATGTATTTATAAGACAACGCAGAATATTCACATTGTTGAGCTATGAAAGAGGAACAGCGTCTTACAAAATGTGCCACCTGTCCAATTTAGTCGTGTTTTCGTAGGCTGATTGAAGGGCTTCGACATTGCGAGATTAAAAAGCTGGGTTTTCTTTGTGGTGGAATAGATACAAACAATCCACATAACGAAAAATCTCTAGTGCAAATGAAAGAATTAAGTTCATGAAAAAGTTACAACGAACCACGCTAACAACCCCATATCAAAGCTCGCACCCTTTTCCCCCAAAATGGTTCTAGTTTCGAGGTTAAACGTAACACAGGCGTGCTTAAAAACAGAGTAATGATCATAGATGCATATTATTGATACATAGCATATTACGTTTTCCTGTTGAACCCCTTCAGTAGCAATAACAATTTCGATCATTGCCTGCATTCAGTACTGCTGTATCTGGACGACACACATGCGAAATAAGGATCGGAAAGTCTGTCAGCTGGCTAGTCTTGAATACACCGGTTATACATTCATAGACTGTGGTATTGAGGAATTTGGCTCAATAGTTTATCTCTGAAATTGCGCTAATTAGTAGAATCTCAGAGATATATATGACATGAAGGGTATTTTTACATTAGTGTTTATGTAAAGTGATTTTGATGAGTTTATGACTCCTTCTCCGATCAGATAATAGCTGGAAGAAGCGTATACATAGAATAGAATATGTGAGCCCATTTTAGCCTTACGTAACCATCCAGTCATTAATCAGTGAAATGAAAAAACAACCTTATGTGTAACTGATGCACGAATTTGGGTGATGCGGAGAACGCACGAATTATAGTTGTGCCCGCGAACGATTCCGAAAGGTGTGAGTAAAGCGGTGACAAGGTTACCGAAAACAGTCTCTTTAGCTCCCGCGACGTCCAACGATAATATCTGCAAACGTCGAAACGAATTTAATACAGTCGAATATTCACATAAGATTTGAAAACGTCCTGTATGGTTCAATCTCTATTTCTCTTTTTGCATAAACTATACGTGATCCAATTTTGTGGCGTATGCACAAACTATTGCTCACCTTTGGACAGAAGCGTAACTCATACTGAGGGGTAGGAGAAGCAGGAGAATCCATGGAAGACCGTAACACGCGACAAGGATAGTGCCGGCAAGCGAGAAGGACTGAGCGAACAGGATATTCGCTGAAAACACCCGAATCAAAGCAACAACCGCCGACAGCAACAACAAATACGTAATATACATTAGTTCCGTTTGTTTTTTGGGGTAGAGAAATAGTCGGTGGCCCGTCCATCATTGTATCGAACTAGAATTCAAAGTGCACAAAAAACAGCCACTTAAATTGTATCAAAGATGCGTACAACTGCCTAATTTTCAGCGTAGTTAAATAAAATCTCACTTAAGATCGACCGAAGTTGTCTATCAACTTGCAGATTCGAGGTCGGACGAAGGGCTCGCGTGCTAAGAGATTACAGGCCAAGCATTATTGTTATACTGTGATATACCAGAACTAGGTTTATATCTTTAGAATAGCTACATTTATGCCGCAATTGTATTTTTTAGATCTTTGCAAATGTCCATCGCGTCGTAAATTTCAAACCCACTGAAGATGATCGTATTAAAACGTTTTCATTTTCGTTAATTGTTCATCAGTGACGCACCGCTATCCGAAAAAAAATAACGATAATGAGCAAAATTCTTCACAGCGTAATTTACAAAAGGTCTATATATTTTCGGCAATTCAGTGTTCGAGAGATGCGCTAGAACGACGTTACCAAGGTCTACATTGGACGACGATGCTGCCAGTTATTATATAGTAGCGTATGTATTTTGAAACGATATTAAGAAGATAATCAACGTTAAATTATACCTGCTTTATCTACGTTCTCATTATATCGCCTCAGATAATAAAATGCCATAAGAAAAAAGATTGTAATAAAACAGGTGTATGCTGCACATCGTTACATGGACGAACACGCTCCAATTTGCCAGAGAGATACAGAATAAGTAAATATTTTCCACTGTTATTTTCACCACGAATCAAACGGAAGCGTTGACGTGACTGAGACAAGAATTAACGCCAGTGTCAGGCGTAAAACTCGAAATGAAAGCGTTGTAGGAGGCTTCTGACGTTGAGTTTGGCTCTAGTATGTCTCTAAGGTATCACTATGCGAGGTTCAGAATGTAACTGGTAAAATACGTAGATAATAACTTATCGACAGAGCATGCGTATTTGTCTAGAAATAATGACTTTTATCACACTTTACAACTAAGGTTATTCGACTCTCGAGTCAAATCGCTAGGCCATAAACAGCTATACTTCGACTCTTCCACAACAATATGCTACAATATTTACTTATACTAGATAAACAAACGAAACTTTCGAACTTACCAATGAACGGTAGTGACTCGTCTACTGTATGTACGTCCGATGAGAGCCGATTTAGCACTTGGCCGAGCGGAGTTTGTTCGAAGAACGTTATCGGCGCATAAAGCACTCGTAAAATGAGGCTATCGTGCACCTTCACAGCGCCTGTGAATGAAATAGACAACTGTAAGTCCATTGGGTTGCGTTTCTGCCCTATGTAGGCATGTACGTACATCTATAAAGAAACCCTCGTAAGCAAATCCGCTTTGTCAAATTCATCATTTATATTATGTGAATTTCCTACACAACTCTTTCTTCTCGGTCTACACAAATGATGTCTACTAAATGTGAACCAGGTGTTTGTAGAAAGATATCAGGTAAAAGAACTTGCCTCAAACTTCGAAGGCAAACCAGTCTTAGACAAACGTATTATCCACGACTTCAAGAGAGCATATTCTATAGGTATAGAAGCAATAACCGATACTGTACTTTCAAACGAATAATCTATTTCGGTCGAAAATTTATAGCCCTCCTATACAACCGGATTCTACTTTTGCATAATAGTATTGGAGTTTAGGTTAGGATAAGAATATAGGTTCTCAGAAATAGAAAAAGTATAACATACAGTTCTCGTCGAGATCACATATTGTAAGCCGGTCGAAAGAGACCCTTTCAGTTTAACTATCCCTTAATTGTTCCCATCGTAACACACAAGACATAGACGCAGTTTCCGCCTACTTTTCAAAAACTTTGAATTTAGGAAATAATTTGCAAACTAAAAAGGCAATAGTTGCGGCTTTTGAATGTAAGCTATCTGCACGGAAAGCCCCGTTTAATACGATCCAGATATATAGTATATACACGCACAGAGGGTCGAACGTGGGCAGATCGGCCCTCTAAATAGGCTCGTACAAAAAAACATTTGCCAAATCCTGGCTGCATCAAGGCGACGGCGTCGCGTCGACGTTTCATCGGACAAGAGGAGGTTTCAGACTGCATTAAGTCACGAAAGGTTAAATAAAACATGAAGGATCTGTGGGCAACATAGCATTATCGATTCGAAGCGCATATGCTAGACCATTTTACGAGGTTCGAGCAGGCAACGAAACAACTATGTCTCTTAGTATTCTTTTAGAGCTGAATATTTGATTCAGATACCCTATAGCTTATACGCCTTTATGGCTCACAAAAACCTTTTAACGGCACCATTCAAGCCTATCGCCCCAGCCTATTTTTCCCTCAGAAATAGTGATAGAAATTTTTAAATGTTTAGAACCGACGCCGTTTGTTCAAATGAGAAGTTCCGGAAGAAGGCACACCTGTCAGTTTGCTGGCTATAGGCTGATATGGTCTCTCCATTCAGCGTTAACAAAATGATGCTGTAGGTGTGCTTGAGGAATAACGTTGCAGCTTTTAGAATATGATTTAAGTTTTTCGATGTTGCAACTTTAATGGTATAATACTCTGCTGAGTTTAGCCTCCATATTAAATTCTGATATAAAATGGTCAGGCTTTTATAAATTTGGGGGGAAGAAGTGTCACGGTAGAGGAATAATTAAGTCGTTAAAGTTTGGCCTTACCTCTTAACCCAGCGTAGGCGAAGAGAAAGGCTCGAATCAGTGTGAGTATACTGCTGACAATGGCCAGAGAAACGTAGCCGATAAAGAAAGTATTCATCCAACTAGGTGCATTATACATATTTGTTGACGTCCGGGACCTAGATGTTGACACGTAATAGGCGAGCCAAGCATCAACTGAAGTTCGAGATACCTAGAGATGCAATACGGGAAAGATAAATACTTATATAATATCTCGAAGTGAAAAGAAACTTTTTTCAGACAAAGAACATTTATCGTGTGTAATCTTTTATCAGCAGAAATAGAATGAAAACTGAGAAAGTACAAGGTAAACAGTGAAAAATTTAAAACGCTGAATTGTGTCAGTAAAAATAGTATTTACTTTCCTTTACAAATGATAAGTAGTCGTATATTATAGATTTTACGTAGTTACCATTGAAGACGTGGTTGAAAAAATACTTCAATATTTTAGTGTAAGAATGGGCACACGGGATGAATCTTAGACAACGCATTACACACAAATACTATGATAGCAGGACCCTCCCACAAAGAGTATAATACCGTCGAATCGTTTAAGTGTACCTGCATGAGCGCCACTGCAGCAACCGTACAAATGAAGAGCGCTAATCCAATTGACCGCACATAGAACCAGAGGACATCTAAGGAGAGACTGCCTCTACGATGGTTTTCTTGACCAGCTTCAAGAGTTAGCACGGGTAGGATTTTATCCTCGGATTCTGGCGTTACAGTTAGGCTTCCCCCTCGTGCCCTTATGTCTCTGGCCTTGGGTAGAATTTCTTCCGGTGGCCCATAACCGATACACTGACCCGCATGGAGATTCAATATTGCGGTACAATTGTAGAGTAAACGTGTGTGATGTGTGGCCAAAATCCGCGTAGAGTTCGCAAGAAGCCCGCAAATACACGAATTGTATATGCGATTGGCAACGTGAACGTCCAGACTGTACGAGAATGAACGTACGCAATAACATAGTAAAGCATAGTGAGATATGGATAGCGCATAGGCTACTCGACAGTGCTAGAAACGCTCTAAAATCTAAAAATAGCACTTATAAAATAAACTAGAGCGCAATATAGTTTTAACAAAGTTACAGTACGCTAAATAATAACATATACCCCAAAGCCTTGATTGATCTTTTGTCGTTTCTGAGTAACGACTTTCTTTATTAAAGGCTGAGCTTTATTGATGCACAGCAAACACTGTACTCTAAGTGACACTCATTTGTGTTTACCTCAAGAAGGGGTCGTCGAGCAGTACGAGAACCGCTTCATTCGGGTTGATCAGGGCGCAATAAGCCGCTCTAGCAAGGGAGACACGCATGCGCTGCCCCCCGCTTAAACGAGATCCCTCCTCACCGACATCAGTAAGGTCACCGTCAGGAAAACCCTAGAGAAAATAGATCGATAGGAAATCAGTCAGTAATAATGCTTGAAATTAGTTTTTAAAAATCTTTAGCTTCAACTCAGCAACAGATAACGAAGTTGAGCCGCACTGACTGTCTGGGACTATAAATCTTTAGGCGTTTGTATCGGACTTAAATTGGTACGGAATTTAGCACTACGCTGTTTGATACTTTATTTTTTGAGGCATAGTCCTTGTCGAGGAAAAGGCAGCTAACCTTTATGTCTTCATCCAAGACACAAGCCTCTAGTACTGCGTTGTACACGGCCGTATCGAAGAGTTGGCCGAAAATAACATTATCTCGTATTGTCGTTTTCTGCAGCCAGACCCTCTGTGATACGAATGCTACTGGGCGATTCCAATGCGAAAATTCGAGGTTTCCGCCTACGCGATTCATGCCGCCTAAAATGGCAGAGAAAAAACTGCTTTTACCCGATCCGACCTCACCAAATACACCAAGAAATTCACCCTGAAATTGGAAGTGACAAACACAGTGGAAGAAATAGCAAAATTTAGTTAATCATGATTATAATTCAGAAATTTAGGCTTCTGACGCTAATGCATTGCTTTGCCATACAGCTCGACTTGATACCTTCTTCAGTGTCAGCGTTATTGGGCCAAGCTTGAAATTATAGATATCCTCTTCGTCATACGACTGGTGTGCGAATTCCGCGCTCGTAAATCGGAGAACTACATCTGAATCTCCGGCGGTTTCAGCGTAGTATGAATCTGGTGCAAAATCTTCCATCTTCATTAGGTACTCCATCCGAGCTAGGGATACCTGTTATTAATTGTCGCGCACGCAAGACTTCATGTTACAACCCAAGCATTATCGAATGAACCTGGTATAGTTTTGAGGGTTCAATAATTCGCATGAGCTTCGATGGGGTCATACTTAAATTAAGCGTGTATACATTTGACTGGGCTGAGTTTACACTGCGCACACATAGAACTACCTAAAAGTCCATAGTTTTTAGCTGGAAACTGTTTCAAAGTACAAACTTTCGACTCCTTCTAATAAAATTCACCTTTGCTTCGACGATTGCATTGAGTACCCAAGGAAAGGCATTCAGAGGCATAATGAGCAGATTAAAAAGCGAGATCGTGGTGAACACTTGCGCTGCGCTGAGGGACGCTGGATTCTTCCCAGTTATACTCCACGTTACGAAGGTCATAACTGACACCAACACCGGTGTTGTTGCCCAGAAGAACACACACCAGGCGTCAATAAATTTCCGGCCCCGTAGCTGCCGCATCTCTTCCCGTCGAATGTTTTGGATTTTCTTCTGTTAAAATAACATGGAGGTACGGGAATCTATCATGAGACATTACCGACCGTTGTGAGCCAACGGAACCAAATACTATAATTTTAGCTCAATAGAAACTTTTTTTTAACATAAGCCAAATAGTAATTTTGTATACTAAACTTAGTTTTATTATAGCACATATGAAAGCAATTATGCTTTTATTATGTGCTATAATAAAACTTTTAAGTCCGTTTTTTATTTAACAGACACCGCCGACAAGACTAGATTTATGAAGATTAAATGCTCACGTCATACGCATTAAGACCAAACGAAATATCTTATTCTAAGGATTATTTCTGATTCCGCAAGCTTGATAATGACTTCATCAATTTTGAACTTATAACAAATAAATGTATAATTTGTCTACGACGTTTCTGTTCTAGAAAAGTCACTATTTCTCTGTTGAGAGCAGTCTAAATAAAAGCTTCCTTGCAGTTTTAGCACTCTATAGAACGCGTCTCACCGACATCCGGTAAAGTCAACATCTGTGTCAACCCCTTCTGCTTACCTGAAACAATTCTGTCCATGAATGCATTTTTATGTAGAGAATGCCCCGAAGGATTTCCCTAAGTAACGAGATCCTTCGATCCTTTGCTTCCATCATTTTCTCTGATAGATTATTGATTCGGTTGGCAAGATACCGATTAATAGGAATCATTGAGACGACGAACGCGGCACCAGCTAAAAACGAAATTCCCACCTAAAAATAAATTACGTAGCAATAGATCTGTTATTCAAAATGCGCTCGATACAAGACGTTGAGGGATAATTTCCCTGCAACCTAAATCATGTGCAATATTACGGAAAAGCTTGAAGTACTATCACTCAATAAGGTCTAATTTATAGTGTTCATATATAAATTCTTGTCCTTATGCATATTTACACGAGTACTGCTGCTGCAGGGGCAACAAGTACGACTACTGAAAAACATCATCATAAGTGCTACATTTCTATCCTAATATGACCCAATATTTATGCCACTATTGTTAGAGTTTATCAATCGTATGATTCACTATTTTTTGGACGGCCCGATTTCGTCGAAAAACGTTGCCGAAGGAACGCCACTCACCGGGCGATGCATGCACACATTATCTATAGAATTAGGCTATTTTTAGGATATTTTATACTACTTCGTATGGCATTGCGTACCGTTAGAGTACTTTTAAAAAATCCTGTATGCACAAGTTAAAAAAATATTCGTACTTGACAGCTACGTATAGCATGAAAAAATTATGACTTGCCTGAGTATAAAGCATGTACAGCGTCACAATGATTTGCAGGGGAAGACTCCAGAACATATGGAACGATGTGCAAAAGTTTGCAACCCTGTCTACATCCGAAGTCATCAAATTGAGTGCATTTCCCGACATAAAACTGCGACCGGTCAAACCAACGTTCAGGCTTTTCTGGTAGATAATTAAAACTAAGGTCGTCTTTAGTTTCAACTTGATTTTTTCGACCTGATAGTTGTAATGCGTAATTAACAACGCACTCAAGTATGCGGTAGCAGCTACAGAAAAATTCAAAAAAAGAAGGGGCATCGGATGTTTGACTTAGTATGTTAAGTGTTACTGAGCGTATGGTTAGTAACACGGTTGTGAACCTCGACGGGCTAACACTAAGCAATGAGAGAGATTCTCGGAAAACGATTTATATACAGCCAGAGCCTCGTCCATGACCTATCATCTACAATGCTGGTAATTAGCGTCTATACAGAATGTCCCGATAAGACAAATGCACATACTGTAGCATTGTTCTGACTTGGAGGCCTATTGATAGTCGACTTCCTCCGCCACCATCACTAACCAAGAATAGTCGCATATGCGTATGCATGGTAGCGTACAGGAACATCGGGGTTGTCCTCAAAACAGGAGATTAGCTTGTTAAGAAGCATGGGCCCGGTGAAGGTACACACGTCGCAAACTAGCTTCATTATGCCCAACACATAAAAGCGGCCCCCTAGGAGGCAGTGCACTTTGAAAAACAAACTGCGACCCGGTGACAGCTGTGCATACCTGGTAAAATTCGCAATGAAACAGAAGCAAAAAAAAAAACTTTCTAATTATTGTTCTTGAATAGCCCTTATACTGCCTCACTGAACAAGAATACACTGCGAGCTGAACACTTTTATCAATGACGTTCACGTCACATTCACTCTAGTAGAAATACTAATAAAAAGATCGTGTAGTATTTTATTAATATTAGTAATGGAATAAAGCGGTCCATACCTGAGGGCGAGTTCGTCTGCGTGAAGGCCACAGGGTAGGTCGAATAGATCATGTGGCTGATTGAGCGTACCCTGGAAGCCTCGTCTCATTAGCCTGCCGACCCACCAGAATGAAAGCAGCGATAACCAATTGGCATATTCTTCGGCCTGGCTCAACACTCCGGACTCTTCTTCAAGTTCGGGAAACTGTACGTAACTGCAACGATCGTAATTATTATCAATGTCAGGTTAAATAAACGCGCAGAAGGTAAGGACGTTTGTTCAAGAAGACATTACAGAACCCATGAAGTTATTGTTTCGTAGATGAGGTACGTTTAAAGCTTCTCTTGCTAAGAAGCACAAACGACTTAATAAGGTTCAAGTATCACTCAATGAACACACGGTGACACCGCAAAAATTGACTGATGCTACAGAACCGACAACGTTTCTTAATGTCTTCGCTATCTACTCATATAGTAGCTATGCGCTTTTTTTTTTTTATCAGAAACGGTCATTGGTTACTTGCGCGCCACAAACTGAATCGCTGCGCTTGGATAACTAGTAATGTATGCAATACGTCAGACTTCTAGTCCACATCGCTCAGCTTATGGCATCGATGGTTAGAGTGGTAAAATTTCTTTCTCCTTGTTGGTTTTCCCACCCGTTTGGCATAGTAAACCTTCCAGCTTTATTGCCTGACATAATAATGCCCACTAATTTCTGTGGAGTTTCGATAAACGCGTTTGACACAGATGAAGCATTGCTTCGAATTATCCTCACAAACTAAAATACTCTCCGTGTCTACTTTCCTCTATCTATAGTTGCCTTAGAAACGAAATGGTGCTGGACCATACACAATATTCAGTATAGTATTTAAAAGAGGGCTTCAAAGTGTCCTAGAGAGTCGTGCATAACCGCAATATGAATTCGTCCATACGGAAAGGGTGTTTTCAGCTAGTAGCTGTTATTAACAAAATGAGCGTGTTTGCTCAGTTGGTTGACTTCGGTCGAGGTTTAAATATCGCTACAAACGTTTGGCGGACGCCGTCGATGCGCTGGTAGAAAGCGTTCCATAAAAGTTACTTGGAGCTTAGTTCGCGGTAACTTCGGCAGCAGCGGCGACACCGCACGCATAGGAACGAAGCTGCCACACAATGAATATGTCTAGACTTCTGGTGATAACGACCTAATGCATAAAGCATTCCGCTAAGCTGTAAATATTTAGTGCTTATCCGGCGTTATGTCGCTAAAGATTTGCTTGTCCAGCATTTTTATCAATACCAGGTGGGTTTCAAACTTGATTACTGATCGTTGATTTTAAACTAAACTCCCGTAAACAATATATGCGCTTGGACTCATTCATTTTTAACGACATCCGATCACTTTTGCATTATAGATAGCTTTGTAATTGATGTAAATATCTACGAAATTTAACCTGCTCATCGAGATTTTTCAAATTTTTTAAACCGCGTAATAGCGCTGGGCTTATAAATAAGGTCAGACTAGTACATATAGATATATGTCCGCAATACCTGTGGCCAGTATATGTAGCATATAGGTTGTCTTCTAATTCTTGTTCGCTCAATTAAGGTCTTACATCAGTTGCAAGTGTAGTGTTGCCAGTATTGACCTACGTTTACAATATGGTCGTCCCAATACAACTTAAGTATTTTCAAGGTGAGACAAAGCTATCGGATCCGATTTTATTGTGCACGTTACCATAGCCAAGTAAGTTAAATGCACACGATGAATAGGATTCCGGCACGCAGAGGTCGATAGCACACTAGAGCTGAAATGGCCAATATGGAAGACGATGTTTCATTCGAAATTTGTCACCGTTATCCGTCAGAATAGCCTTGAGAAGGTGGTCAGTGAGTAATTACCCATCGGACAGGGATGGCGCAAGTACGTTGTTCATTGAAACGACGGGTGAAGGAACACTCGTCCAAGGTCGTACGGTCAAGCATGTATAGATGAGAAGAAGGAAGGTCGACAAAAGGCTGCCGTACAACTCGACGTAGTAGGAGAGGGTATCTGCTTCTGTGTATCTCTATGAAAACGAGAGCAGAACCAAATACATCGGAATTTAGCAGAGTTCCTTGGGATTGTAAGAAAACAGCACTTCCAAAGGGACACTTGATATGTGAATCGGGACCATGGTATTAAATACGTTTTTTTTTTTAAGATGAAATTTTGTCGATTTACGCAGTTGATATGATATCTCCAAAGTACTTGGTTGTCCTGTACACACGTAACGTTGGCACAATACAGAGAATAATTATTTGGCCTATAATCTAAATGCGATAATAAGCACCTAACAATCGGCATAGTTACCACAAAAGTAAAGACGTTTGTAAATTGTGCAGTTTACCACACTATTAAGCATAATATCTTGCATTTATCTGTAATTATTGTATACTATACGATGCCTTTTTTCCATCCAACCGGCCCCCTGTCCTGTCTAAATAAAGCGAACGGCGATAATGCGTCATAAGCTGCAAATCATAGTCTAAACACCGTAACGATGCACATAATGCGTACGTATACGTTTTAAGCGTATCAACTTACCGAGAGCTCATTGAGAAGGGAATAACTACGCAAAGCTGACCAGATCATTAACAGAACAGATGAAAAAGTGATATGTAGCTCATCCTTCCGTTTATGCTGAAGATAATAGGCCAGATGGTAAGACCATACCACAATCGTTAAGACGACGCTGACATACCGTAAAACAGGAAGTTCGTGGCCTATAATTGCAACAAATCAATGCACAAGTGATTGCGACTGCTAAATAGTTCATTCGTTGTATAAATAGCTGGTGGTAATTTGTTATCTACACGACATTCAGTCATATAAATCTGGCTTTCCGATAGCTTTTCTCTTATAGACCTTAAAATATATTAGATTTTTGAGAGCCATAAGCCAATGACGAATCGATATATATATATATATATATAAGCCCTGTTAGCGGCACATGCACAACTTAATTTGTCTAAATAAGGAATACAATGATAAATATGTGTATCAAGCGAATGGTGTTCCTATTATTATTTATTTCCAGATACGTGCGTGCAGATATACGTGAATAGCGTACGTGCGGATAGGGTTTGCTACTACCGTATAAATACTATATAGAGCCGGTATCGATTACTAAACCATTTTACCCACTCCTTAGGATTTTTTATGTTCGGCCATCTGTCATGGCCCATCGAAAAAAAAAAGTCGTCTGTGTAAGCTTCAAGAGGCTAATGCGTTAATCCCCTTTACGGATATCAGGCCTCAATCTTTAGTTTTTGCCACAACAGTATGGAGTCTTAACAAGCGAGTGAGTGTTCTATCTGTTGAATTCGTCACTCGATTTACCCTGGTCCTACGTCGGTACTTGACCTATTTTAACCACTTCAACCCTTTAATATTATTTTAGTTCAGTTTGCGTAATTCAGCATACTGTAACGTCGCTATTTAATTCTTTCCACGTAAAAACAGTTCAACATGGTCCAGTTTACGTGCATTCTTCATGGTACTAGACTGAAGATCGGTCCTTTTCAAAGAATATTCCAATCAGAGCCAAAGATTTATCGTCAAGGCGGTGCAACACACCAGATGTTTGTTTATATTTTTCGATTCGATTAGGAATATAGGCCAAGGTGATATATCTACATTCAGACTCATTAAAACGTTCATCGAACCGACTTTTACTACATTTGTTTCGAATAGAGACCATACGATTGCAATCGATATGCACGGAGTTCCAAAGCTGTTTAGCTATCGAGCGCCCATGCTTCCCCTACGAAAAATGCATCCATGAACAATTATATCACGGACCATTTCTGCAGTAACCGATGGAATCACATAGCCAGGCAGATTTTGATCAGTGGGTTTCTACCGGAATCATATCTGCGGATAGCCACTTGCCATGATATAAATGGTAAAAAAGAACGCCCGTTATGATTGGTCCTAATCAGTTCAACGAAAAAGGGAAAATGAGACAATTGATAGCTCTAATAGTATCCTGAGAGTTCGTTTACTGAGAAGTCCCTTTATATGTATTTTTTAGGCCGTTTTAAGCGAATCGGGCAGATTTTAAAGCTAAATATCTTTTGGAACAGCTTACGAACAAATTAATTAAGGAGCAAGTTAGTGTGCTTTCGCTTGAGACTTTCTTGCCCAATATCTTCACCAATCAACAATTAATTTTTACAGCACCGCGCTCTTCGGGGAAAAAGCCAAGAAATTATCATAAAAACCTAGCCACTGAACGCTTGATTTAGAGATTAAGACACGTCTTTCAATTTCTTCTGCTCTGAACTCATATGGCTTTCGCTCTCAACTTTTATGGAATAATTGTCAGTAAAATTTGGCCTGTTAGTGACATGTAATTCACAAGTTATTCCAAAATCCGTCGGATTCACTTGTATATGTATATGAGTATTATACTAGAATTAGTTGTACGGACCGTAACACTTGACGGCGCTATTTTTACGTATGTCACACGCTGCATCTCAGTTGACAGTTATTAGCGTTTGCTAAAGACGCCTGCATCACTTTCTTTAACCGAAACTGTTTTTTCGGTTATTGGCCCCGCATTCACTGACATTGAAAATGTCGTCAAATATTTTCTCTTGTAATTTGTTTTTTTTTATTATTTAGTTACTCTTTTGTATAACCCTTCGCACTATCACGTGCAATAGACGTAGCGAGAATAAAGCAGGTCGCTACAACCGAAATTTCGCATGTCCCATATTTATTGTTAATTGTCTTTCAGATAGTGCAATATCATATTAGGAAAAAATTTATCCATTATCCTGTATATTTCAAATAAGCATTTGTTTATCACAAGAAGTTTAGAGTGATATTTGTTTGACAGCCACTGTGAATTTTTATCGTCCAGTTGTTTCAATATCAAGCCAGATGATGAAGCTGTCTCGATTAAATATTGACTCTTAGGTGAATATCGGATAACGGTTTTCAACCAAAACGCACGTTGGGCTGAGGCTTTTAGTTGGAAAAGCACTACGATTGTCATTTGTATAGCATCCACCTTACTAAGATACCATTACTGTCTAATAATGACGCCATTGTGTCGTTGTAATAATGTAGTATTTGTCTGTAGTATAGCAAAATGCGTACGTGAACGGCCTCTAACCAAAACTAATTAGAAATGTCGACTTCTTAGTAGGCTCATAGCAGAACCTTATATCTCAACATCGATTATGCCAGATTAAAGCTATGTATTTCCTCTGTTGCACTGCGCCCATAGAGAACCTCTATAGGTACTACTAGGTCTAAACATAATGAAATGCTATCTGAAGCCAACTCGGTGTTCCCTCTAAAAACAGCCCTACCGTCATTCATTGAATATAGATTACTGTCTAGAATATCAAGCACGTTATCACTACACCATCATGAAAATGTCTACAATAACAGAGATATAGATCAATTTGCCTGCAGTAGCAAATAATCTAGAATGGGATAACATTTAACAGGGCTCCCCGTGGCTTATACAAGATGTAGTATGTTCTACACCTAAACATCGAATAAGCTGAATGTTTATGAGGTTTTCTTACCTTGAAAAAGCTGCACAATCACGAGATAGAACACAGGTATAGCCATTAGGAAGAAAGCAATGTATCGGCGTAATTTTAATCTCCAGTTTCTTGGAAGTCTCGACAAGTCACTATTACTGAGTTCGCCAAGGCTCCAGGCTGTAGAAACTGCGTGGGCTAATAACGTTACCGAAATGGCCGCATCATTGAAGCACGAAGTAACGGTGCCGTGCCGAAAGAAAATCAGCGCTCCGTTGGGGGTTAGGTCCGTCGAAGCGCAGATAAGGCTCCATAGGCTTTCGGGCATTTTACCGCCTGGTTAGGAATCAATAGTAACAGTCAACTAGAAAGGGCGGTAAAAAAAAAAAGAGAAGTGATCAAAGTTGGTAAGCAATGGCGAAGGAAAATCGACATCGATTATATTATGTAGGTGGGAATGATAGAGGGGATATAAACTATTGCACATAGATCGTCGGCAATGTTTTCTGTGCATAACTCAGCATCCCCATCGCCTAGTAGAGATGGTCATTTCATTATAAATCACTTGGTGGCTAATAAAAGCTTGCATTGACATAACCCAAGAACTGTATTTACATGTATACTTATATGTACTATACACTTGTATGATTGATGATATTCAGTCATTAATTGTTATTTTCTTTATTTATTTAGTTGAGCCATGCAATCTTCAATCAATCGGAGAGCGCATTATGTAGTCTAGTTCACCTGAAAAGAGAATCGAACAAGTATTAAAAAGCTTAGGGGGCAGCCTGGAACATGCCATTTTCGTCGTTCTTTTGATAAAGCCATGTCACCTAATGCACGATAGTATGCGATCCTGCTACCTGTGAATAGTACTTGTAGCAGTCCTTGTTATCCCAAAAAAAATGGTAGGCAAATTGCCTTTAGTAGCAAGTTTCGCGCAGCGACTTAGCAACGGTATACGAAATGATTTTTGAATTTCGTACGACAAAAGAATTATTCACCCCAATATAGGTCATCGTTCTCCAGAACTGTTCTCTGTTAACTATCTCTATAATAAACCATTCTCCATTTTGACATTTTATAGATTTGTATTTATTCTGAGCATATCTCTCCCTATTCGTAAATATCCACATGATATTAAGACTGAATAACTAGCTCAACGATAAAAATGTGGTTTTTATGCGTAGGGCTTTAAAAAGCAATATAGGCGATTCTTCATTTGCTTAAAAAAAGTCCAACACGATTTAAATCATTTGTTGTACTCCAAGCATAAACCACACAAGGTGTTTTCTAATTTTCCCGTAGGTAGAAATCGGACTTATATTGGACAATAGGATTAGTCGATCTCATCAGCTGTGCCATTCTGGTTGCGATAAGTTGCATAGGCATTGCTTTATGCGTGCACAGGATTGCGCCCGTTGCGAAGTCGCCTTTCGTGTCAATCTCCTGGCATTATGTTTCCGTCTTATATTTCCGATATGTCTCCAAGCAGACAAATGCATCGTGTACGTATGTTCAATAACCGATTTGATAAAAGGCACCACCCTTTAATGTACACAGGCGTATATTTAACTATTATTTAAATTACGAAATCTTTTATCATATCGACAACTTCAACTGATCCGCCTTATGATTAACTACTGCTAACGAACAATTGAACATGTGAATAAAATTGATTGGGTTAATTAATAATAATTAATAATAACCTTTGATTTGCCGTGTAGACTTTGTCGCTACTACAATTAATTTTGAAGGCTCAAAGTAACGCATCGACCAATTCATTTTGGATAAAAGCCTACACAAACAATGCTACTTCAAAACTGAACTTCTTGCCTGTAGCACTGATAGAACGAGCAGACACGTAGAAGACATGATGACTGAATGCGTAAAGCTCTCGCTTTAGGCACAATCAGCACCTGGCACGGATGAAAGGTATCTCAACCAATTATCGATCTACACACATAAAACGACCAAATAATTGCTTTTCATTACTTAAGTATATGTGAACAAAAAGGTTTACGCAAGGTTTTTCAAAGCACTTTTCACATCTGCACGATTGTGCAGTTGTCACATAAGTAGTACAATCGTTATGATGAGAACGTAGATGATAATGATAACTATTAAAGGCTTTAGCGGTGGCCTTGACATTTTGTTCTAAAAATAATCCGATAGCAAATGAATACACGTGAATGTTAACTCTTTAAGGAGACATCGGGTGGTTTTGACAAACAATAGTTCTATTAAACAATATATGTATTTGCTTTAGTTTGTATACATCGAATATGCAGTAAAACATCACAATAGTTACCAATAGACACAAGACTTATGCTTTCTTCCTGCAAATCCAAATGCAGAAGAAAACACGTTCGCTACAAGCACAGTCTCCTCACTCTGTTAGAAAACACGTTTTCGTTTAACCGCCATTGATTAACCGCTCCATAAAACGGATAATTTCCTTTCGCTAGGAAACCTTCGTTACTTTTTTATTTACAACCAATTATTCTCTAGAAAATAGGTTAAAATCGTATCCTGTGACTTTGCAAACAAGAAAGCAATCACTGCTTGTAATTACACCATGGTACACTAACAACGTTTAGCTCCATCCCGATCTTTGCCGAAGTAATCACCGGCTTTCATAGATTGCAATATGTTAGCTCAGATGCGCTGCATTCTCAGATGTTACCTCAAATTAACGTTGTAGAAACGATGTTGATTCCGCTTGTTACAGACAAATTCTACGAGTCGCTAGAGATAGCTTTTGTTCCATCTTTTGCTTGATTACACTTACATAAAATGTTCATCATGACCTTAGCGTGTTAGCACGATTAATATCCGCAGTAATTTTCCACGATTTTTTTTGAACAAGAAACTATTTTTCTTCTTTTAGGTAAGCCAATGTATCATACAGGTTTCTGAAAGTCTTCCCGAGTAGAATGGATCAGACTAATGAGCTTTTGTGTATTATTGACCAATGGTAACTCCGGCTAGGTTAGATTTTACGACTGAAGGTGAGGGTAGTACAGGTCGACAAATACGCAAATGTCGTAGTCAACGCCAAGAAAGTGACGATTAGTGGAATCATGCCCTTCAAGAATACTTACCTTGTGTATCATAATCTATGCGTACGCAAAAAGATTTTTACACGCATCTCTCTGATAATCAAAGTACTCTCACAGTGAGGAGATATAGTACAGTCATCTTCACTTGTAATTACTTAATGATATAACGGTGAATCTACCAGTGAATAGAGTGAGTGTTGTTCGATTCATTGTAGCGTAGACAACCAACTTTCACTTCGTAGAAGTATGTAAGGGGCGTCGAGGGGATTCTTCTGATAAAATGATCTAAAAGAGTGTCAATAGGCAAAACAATGATTCTGCTAAACTCACACAGCAATGTTATCAAATGTTACACGACGAGAAAACTCAGTAGCGAAGCGGAACGACGGTGGCAAGTAAGATTTCGATTTTCATCGTTGAAGCAGACAACAATCATATTGAACCACTCCAAAAGTATACATATTAATAATAATAATAATAATAATTGGCGATAGAAATGACACTACCTTTACTATCATTATTCTTCGACTTTTTACCAGGTGTCTCAAACATACAGTAGAACTTCATAAATATATAACCATTAAGCATGCGTATATGGCCGAAAAAGAAACATACGTAAATTAATATGAAGACCTATTCTGACCAGAGCAAATACTTGGGGTCATTAAGTGTCATATAAAATTTGCCTAATGGAAACAATGCAAAGCTACACAGTCACATAAAAATATCCGCGCATTCAGAAAATAACGCCATCATATGAAAGGTCAACTGATGGATTTGAAGCTTTTTGAAAAAAAAAAATCACGGTTGACCTTTAATGCAGTGTTTCTTGTTTTTTTGGTCCTTACTCATCCATACTCAGATAGAGGCGTGTATTTTAAATTTAAAAAAAAAGCGGAAACAGTGCGGAAGGATGCATCTCAGAGGATGTCAAACTTTAGTAACACGTCAAAATTCAGCCGTTCAAAGCACTAACCAAGGTCTGACGTTTCTTTAAGACACATTCTTATAAATTATTCTCCGTCTTTTGTTCTTTACAAGTAAACATACCTGTCTAAGTATTCATTTATGTATATACGAATCATATAAATTGCACGAAACTATGAAATTGTTACTTTAATTATTTAATTTATCATAGAGTAGCGTAACTGTTATGTTAGTATGAAGGAGTCTGCACAGTCTTTTCATAAAATATCTTGTTTTTAAAGTATTAAGTAAGTGCAAATTGCTAAGCAATATTGAACAAAAAGCAAGCGCGATTTTTAAAAAAGCAAACCTCTCGGACGGCCAAGCTAAAAGAAATATTGCAGATTTTATTTAAGCGCTTAAGCACTAGCTCCTATCTAATCTGCTTAACCTAAAACGAAATGTTTCTAGCCTCTATTTGAAATTGGTATCATCGTGCGTCCCTAGTTTCAGTTGGGCCAATACCGAGGCAATCGCAGAGTGGGGACCACCAAACGGCTTATCCCATTAATAAACATCGAGCAGTATTCATTCATTTTTCAAGCGTCAAGAATACGGTCAAAACAACCATGAGCAAATCTTCTAAGTGTGCACATTTGAGGGCGCATGTCTGGAAGATCGTTTCTGGTTGGCGAATACACTACCAGATACCAAATAAATGTTAATTTAAATGCGGTTAATGGAAGTGGCGTAATCTGGATACAAAAAACCTGACTGAATACTTTTACCACCAAATGGGAGATGAGTTTGTAATTTGGGCATCCATAGCTCGCCCCGAAGTGGTGGTGCGAACTCGTATTATCCACTGCCACACATATCAAGTAATAAAAACCCAGATACCCAATTCCGGGTATCGAGTTCGGGTCATACGGGTTTGCACAGTGCAATATACTAATCACAATACAGTGATGATCAGTTATCTCTGTCATCAAATCAGTTAATCAACCCCTAGATCTTTCAAGCTGCACACAATAAGCACAGAATTAGCATGTTTATATACATACATTTACCTATTTTTTTGTATAATTGTAGGATGTTATCCGTAGAGCCGTCGGCCAAATTTCGAAGTTATCACTGAAGTGGCAATAAATGCCCGCGCTGGTACCATTGTCTTCTGCACGGCTAATACAATGAAATATCTGATCCAAATAATCCGTGATTTCGGCCTCTTTCCACGTCACATAACGAGTAAGCTAAGCATAGCGAATGTCCGAAACGAGACCCCCTTCACGACAAATGCATTATCAAGGGCCAGTTTATATCTAATTTTAATCCACGGTGAGGAAATGCTTCCTAGTTGAGCCAGGTAATACATTATAGTCAATAAAAGAATATCAGAAACGCAAGACAAAATTGTACATACTGATTAGAAGCTGTAAATGCTTTCGTTTGATGTTGATGAAAAAACAGGCTTTCTTTGTCAGAGTGCAAATGATATAGGCTGGTGTGGATAACGTTATCGTCTTAAACTCACCAACTGTTTTTAGCTGTGTTCAAGTACGGCGCAGCGACTGCCTACGAACCTGACTTTGCTCGAAAATTCGTAGAAAAACAGGATATAGCTAAACTCTACGGTGACTATGAGAAACTCAGTCATACCAATGAAATTGCTTACAAACGCATCTGGCTTCATCTTAGAGGACGCCGTAATGAAGGCTAGCCGTTACAACGCAATTAAATTTGAGTATATTGCATGGTCAAAGTGTATAAAAAGGTGATGTAAAGAAAAATAAGGCAGGCATTAGCTAAGAATAACGTTTGCTTATAAGGGCGGTATGTCTTAATCACTCAACATCGTTGTATAGCTATATCTTGTTCCTTAATTGGACATAGTTTTAATTCGTAGTAGTTCGACTTACTCATGTGGACTTTGATTGACGAGAGCAGATCTCGTTTGAAATCGTTTTTTACGGGAAATTTTACGGGAAAAATTTTACAGGAAAATTCTTAATTAGTTTAATCAACGAAGTTCAGGACAAACTTCGGGTTGAAATTTTGCTCAAGCTACGTTATCCCTCATTGATTGACCATTCGAGCCTTTATCTACGTTAATATGGTGCATACTCATTACTTCGTCGTCGTTAAAACATTTTTAGATATCGACAACGCGGCCACTGTAAGTATATATGACAATCTGTACGAAACACACACACATAACCTTGTGACAATTGCTAGAGGGGAGCCGTTGTTTTTTTGTGGAATTAAACTCACTAACCAGCAATGACACAGACTAAACTCATTGTGATGTTTCGAATTAACCCCGAATTAACCCAACTTAATTACATTAGCACATTGTCGACTAGCATCGTAGATGGTTGACTAAATGTTTTGAAGTTTCTGTCCGATTGGATTAGCTTAAATATCGCATCATACGGCTAGCCTTTTTCGATACGAAACGAGGCGTCTTTATGTCTGGCTTAAAATTGAAAGCACTTCGCATGCCCCTGAACCTAATAGGTATACACGTTCCCACTATAGTTTCACAGAGATACCGTCTGTGCCCACTGTTGCACTACATAACCGCTCCTTAATTTGCTGCTCAATGCATACATTAGTAAAGATATTTTCGTTTATTTGGCCTATGAAAACGAATAGAGGTATACACGTTTCGATTAGCATATGGTAGACTTGACCACAAATTTCTACAAGGCCTAATTTCTAAGTAAAATCGATCGTCTGGCGCAAGCGAAGCTCATGTGCATTGTATTAGCACATTTGCATTTTTTTGTCACATGAGTTGTGCATGTATTGGTGCGTAACACGTTTATTACCGTGAAAATGTATATGTGATTATCATGTTATCGCTTTTTTCTTCAGTGCTTTCTCCAACGAGGTCATAAATAGGATGTACTTTTATCCAATCGCAATGAATTGCAAAACACGGTCTAAGCGCATCCTCGAGTAGAATACAGCATATTTATAAAGAGAACCTTATAGAGCTTAGAGTAAAAAGGGTTTCATTGGCCCTGTTTATTGGAATACTCATATTAATTAAACTCTTTGCATCTTGGATTGCTTTGATTTTCAAACCTATCAATTGCATTGGCATTATAAATGAAAGTGCTGAACGATGTCTATCGGAACAAGGCCTATTGTCTAGTCTTGACCAATCTAAATACCATGTAAAACTCCGGGCCGTGGTTTTTAATGAGCTAGCTTTTGACGTCAACTTTATAATTGTTTACTGGTAGATTGCTTGGCCGATCTCACAAATGAACCTGGAAGCACATCAAGATTTTTATGGGTATTTATGGGATCCGTGTAAATGTTATTATCCAATGCACACATTAGTAAACAAACTTGTCACCGAAACGGTTAAACGCTAGTTTTGAAGATGTATTTAATAACTGTGAGGGCACCCTAACTAATATCCTCGCCTTTGGAAAAGCGTTCAAAAAAACCGATCACATAGAGCAGTTCGAATTTCTTATACGAATCTGTTTGCAACGTTCAAACAGTAACTACTTAATTACCCTTGTTGAACTTCTAAGTGTACCCAATCTGATTTTGAAACGCTTGCTCGGACCGTAGATTCTAGGCTGTGCTATATGCATTAAAGGGTGTCTCAACACTTCAAGATGTCGAAAGGTATCGAAAGATCATATCATACCTCTGTTATGGCTTTATATATCTCCTTAAATTAAGTGGAATTCAACGTTAACTTCAGTTATGGTCTTCTTTGCTCTAGGAAACACCAGGCATCGCGGAATCTATTTCCACAAATGGTCGCGTACCCGAGAGTGCACTAGCTCTGGACTTCGACGGTAGGTAAAACGTGTTGTCACCGTGGGTCGAAGACGAAATAAACTATGTCTTCTGTAAAGTACGGCTTAAAAGGCTTTTGATCGGCCAGTAGAACACGATTATGATTGCAGAGTCAGTGGCTGAAGCTTTATGACGGCTCCAAACCCGTGTGCGCGTTATAAAGGATAGAGCAAGAAACAAATATACGTTTCGTGATACGCAGAACAAACATTATTAAACTTGTACTAAGCTTAATAAATTAATAAAGTTGTAGCTTGTTACTTTTATTTGTGTTTTTTTTTTCTGTATCATTAAACAAACCTTAAAAGTACGGTTGGAAGCATATACGTCTACTTTTAATATTTTTTTAGTTCAACAGGCAATTAATTTCGAATAATTCTAGACATATCACAAATTTCTGACTCCACTGGGGGCCAATTAAATGTGTCTACTGTACCACTTCTATCATCGGTGGGTTAAGGCAGAGGATTGGCCGAAACATCAGAGCCAGTGCGAATATTACGAATAAAATAAGGTAACGTTTGTTTTTTAGACTGGGTCCGCTTTACATATGCATACATACAGCCCACTGCGTAAAGGTATATGGTTTATCACGTTATAATAACTTGCCAAGCAGAATTGCTTGCATAGTTTCTTTAAAACTAACATTTCCACAAGGCGTACTTCTTCTTGTTCGTGCATTAAGCGGAATATATCGATTACAAACATATTAAGGGACACGGAAGGGTACTGATATACATTGTTATAAGCGCTCCATCAGTCTTGTAGAGCGCTCTAATAGACCATATGACATTGCAAAATATAGAAAGTAATTCATACAGGTGGGTAATAATATACACGCTATGATCTTCATCGGAATGATCAGTTTATGCCTCAAATAGCCAATAGATTCCTTTTCATTCAGAGTTTACATTGTACGTCTAATTGAAATCAATAGCACCGCCTAGGAAAAATGAGACACACATAGAATCGGTTTCTACATATAAATGGGTACGTGCACCGTGTTTTACGTGTGATGCTGGCACCAAACACTTATTCATACATCTAGCCCCCAGCAGACTACGAAATATCTACACCCGGTTTTGGACCTCACGTGCCCCTAAGTTTAATATATTTTAACATCTAGCAGGTTGGAAGGTGGACCGGCAACTTAGGAAATTTGCATGTTTATTGAGGACACCGTAGCTAAACATAGCGTTCTGCAAAAAAATATGCATAACTATACCCAATTAGTTACTCAAAAAATAAATATCGTAAATATTTTTACTTACGACAGGAGCACATCTGTCGTTATATTTTTCGCCTCGCAGTCAAAGCATATTTTCAACACGTTGAAGCGTCTGCTACCAATGAGCGAGCCCATATAGAGGCGAATCGTGAAACTGTAAACATTCGAATTTGAAGAACAAAGGAAATTAAATGTTGTACAGAAAACAAGACGGCGCCAGTTGATTCGGGGATGTTCGCAAGGAGGGTGTCCCTTGTTATCTGTGTGTGCGCGGATCCTAATGATAATTGTCTATTTCGCAGGTAAAAACAAAGATATACACATGACATAAAAACTGAACACCCTAATTAACGTCGTTACCAATAATTTTCCTTGAAGCCAATTTGGCGTAAGATGTAAAGTAAATGTTATTTTTTAAGGCATAGGTAGCGTTGCGAAGAATGCGTTTCTACGTCAATTAATTAAAGGTGACAAATTATCTGACGACATTTATAACGATTTCTTTAGAAATGATATTGTGAAGTGGAGTTATCCGTGAATAACTTGTCGTGAAGGGTTGATTGTTGTGATTAAAACGACCAAAGGGGATGAATAAATCGTCGCGTAGTACATGTAACGATGTGATACACGTAATCCTGGTCAGAAACAGACAGATAATAGAAAACTCTAGATACGTAGATTGTTATGATTAGATATATAATATATACTGATATATAATAAACGCTACAATAAGTATAGTGTTTTGTCATTAACAACAAATCATTTCTCGATATAGGTGTATTCGTTTATCTTTCAACACAGGTAATTATTTTCCTCTAAAGTATCAATCGCATAATTACAGCATGAAAAAGGGTCATTTCAACAAAAATGATTTGTTTTAAGGCCGTTTATAGTTATGCTAGCACATATTTTCCGTAAGGAGCTTATTCTCATACTGAAGTCTTATATTCAAGTTGAATCTTTTTGCTTTTTCTTAATTTCGCTCTACTTAGCTATGCATTTTCTGAAGTCTAGGATGTTTTAAGATTGCTCATGAACAATTTTTTTTTTGTCATTTTGCCAGCTGACCTGCGACAATCTTTAAAGAATCTTTTTTCGTCTGCCGAAATGTTTTCTGCTTCTGGATGTTCTCTAATTGGAGCCATTCGTTATTTGCACGGATCCTCTCGCCGGCTCATGAAGTGGGCCGAGGTGTCCGCTGTACTACGACCATTCTATCTGAAGGTATCATTTTTACAAAAGGTTGCTATTTGGTCACATTAAAGACTCAAACGTTCGATTACTCATGAAGCACAACCCTTTGATATTATATATGCCAAGCGTGTATGCTGTCATGCATATTAAGTATATCCAGAGGCGCGTTAGTTTCTATCCAAAACCCTTATTCACATGTCGACTTAAGCAAGCATGTTGTGAGTATTCATTTCTACACAAACGTACGTTGTAGTGGTGAGGTATGCTTTTAACCATGAGGCAAACCACAACAAAGACTGGAAATTTTATCACCTGTTGATTTACCCGTGTTTTCTCACATTGCTTGATTCACGTTTATAGGTTCATCCCGATATGTTCATGAAATTTCCTGATCAACAGAGAACCAATGAGGATTCCCTTAAGGTCAGTGCAATACGATAAACGTTGATTTCGTGTTTTTGGATTTTTTATTGTTATTATTATAGAAACATACGTATTTAGAAAGACATGGCATTTATGGTTGATTATTTTGGAATCAAAAACTTTGGATCACTTTCACTATAGGTCCTGAAAGATTTAGTCACAATTTATCGTTCCCTGCAATAGTTTTTTTATTGTTTTCTTTGTCATTGCTTTAGTTTTTTTTTTAAATACTTGCTTCACCTAAATAATAATTTCAGTGACACTCGTGTGTCAATCCATGAACGGAAATATAATAGTGCGACGCATGGAAGTAAATATCATTTATTTGGTCACCTGTGTTTCCTTTCCAGGAATTAAATTCATATCTTGAATCACTAACAAAACATGAGGTTCCCACAAAAAGGCGGCTAGAATTTTTTATGAAGAAGAACGGATCCGACGAACTAAGCAAACTGAAGATCAATCTCCAAGGTAATAATAAATTAAATGCACGAAAATATGCAGTAACCTTGAAATTCTCGAGTTTAATTGTATTTATAGTGCGTCATACTGCTCTTACTTGAGCAGATCCATAATTTCTTGCTGAAATCCCATTACTCAAGGTAGTGTATTCTCATTCACGCTTGTCAAGAAAAACTACACGATTAACTGATAATAATTTAGAATTCAAAATAAAATGCAAAACTACAGACTTTCAACTTCCATCTCTTGTTTATTTATCAGGTAGTTTCTTTCGCCACCTGGCCCGTTTTTATTCATTGCATCGAAACTAAATAGAGTTGCAAACATGCTGATGGTATGAGTAAAACTGTTGTTTCATATTTTTACTAATGATTTTTTAAACGGGTGAGTCTCCTAAGCGCTAGCTATGAGAGCAGATGTTTATATAACCGATATCCTGGCAAACTTTTCCTTCGCCTCTTCCTTTGTATGTCGATTTTATTTCTTATATGTGTCAAAGGCAAAGCGCTTTTAGAGACGTTAAGATACGTTTTAAAGACAGCAGGACTTCCCACTGATAACGTGTCCGCAACAAAAATGAAAGTCATCATGGAAGATGAATTTGGGTAAGCTGTACAGAGGCCCTCTAAGAGTAAGCAAACTAACTTTGGCTATTAATAGAAGCAATGTGAAGAAAAACTAAAAGAGTGTAGACTGTCGTGACACTATTTTTTTCGCGAACACTTAAAACCGCCAAAAAATGTACTCATCCAATTAATGATGCATATTGATGATATTTTGTGCATATATATATACATATTGTGTGCGTATTATTATTTTCTACGTTTGCTTCTTTCTAATCGAGTATCTAATGTCGTATGAAAGGATCTGCATGGATTTGTAGTCATTGTCCTTCAGGAAAGTCCTAGTAATCATTTGAAATTCTTATTTTTGCTTGCTTAGATTTGTTTTTGGTGACGGCCTGTTCGGCAGAACGCACTGATAAGGTAAACAGCGTTGTTTGATAATATACTAGCGATATTATTCGCAAACTAAAAAGCAAATACATTTCAATGCGTACAATTTGAGGCTTCACTCCCTTGTTGCAGCGCAGCGTAAGCTATTGATAGTTTTAAAGGCGATTTTCGCTACCTTGTTTAGCATAATCTTATTATACATTTACACAGCTTTCATGAATCTATATATTTTGTAAATCATGTAACAAGTGCTGCTGGTATCCTATAACCACTAACAATACCATAATCAAATTTGCATACTGATATAACTATCGAACTCAAGTGAATCATCGATATGATTAGGCCTTGCCAAGTAACGATTTACAATCATTTTATTTTTAGTCGTAATATTAATGAGTTTTTGGTGGTGATTGGGTATCGCGTGTCGGTATGATACATTCACAGATACAAGGAGGAAGACAGTTTGCATTGGACGATGCACCCTGATGATCTTGCGAGTTTTCGGGGTCCCTCAAGGGATCAAGGCCTAATGAGTTTTCTTGACGAAAATGTTGAAGTCGCTATGGAAAGAACTCGTACAGCCGCTCCTATTATTGACGAGGTAAGTCAATTTTAAAATTAAAAAAAACTGACTGTTTCATATCTATAATAACTAAACTATAACATTTTTGATATTTAATTCAAGGTCATAATAAGACACCCTCAATGTTGTGCTTCTGATACACGAAACGTCTTTACTCTGTGGTTACACTGGACTTCTTATAGAATCGCCGCAAGGAGAGCTTTGTCTGTTCATGAAGAATTGCGTAGATATATTGGCATGAAGCAATAAAAACGTATGCGCGAATATAAAAATTCAACAATCGATTAATACATTATACAGTTTCTAATATATTATGTATTTTTGCATTTTGCCCCTATTCTCATGTAACGATAAATGTAAATTGTAAGAATCTGCAGGTTTGCCGGTTGCATATCAAAATCAAACTTCAGATTATGACTTCTGCCATAATATTCTAACTTTGGGTTTTTTATTACTTTCCTAGCGAATATCTGATCAAATCATTATAGTTTAATTAACGTTTGTTGGATACTAGTACACATATATTGTGGATATTTTTGAAATTTTCAGATATTACGCGTTGAATCAATAATCACGTCGAAGCTGGGCGTGATATCTGTGGCATGGGAATGTGGCTGGGGTGTTGCTCATTATCGCGCCGGTCTTCTCGCACTTTTAAAGCTTTGCGAGCAACATCCCGATGTTGCAACAGTCCTTCGGGGCAGAAAAGTTTCTTTCGGCCAGGCATGAGACTCCTAAACCATATATTGGTGATACAGTCGAATCAATTCTTGCATAGAGTGAATAAACTGTAAGAAATAAGTAAACAAAATTTAAAGCAGAGATGGATTTGACTTAACTTATTGCCCTCATCTCGTGCGAAACCCAGCCAGAGTAAGCTGATCATGACAATGCGTTTATTTTCAGTGGACAGGGGTTTCGCTTGAAGGCCATATTGTTTTGTCGGCTGGTGAGGTGAGAGAGAGTTGGTTGAACTTTTTGAAGCGCCTAGACGAACAGCTCAAGTAAGTAAGGACTATTCACCATTTCGTTCAAGCCGGAGTCAACGTTTTGCCATAAATTTGCTTATCTTTACGACGTGGGGCTAAACAATAAAGTCGGATTTTTGCCGTCATCCACTATCTAATCTAAGCTTTGCATCCTACTTCGGAACTACATAAATCTACCATTTGTCTGTGGTTGAACTTATTCAACAGGTTTGTCGAATGGGTACCTCACGCGGAGAAACAGCTGTCTTTAGTTCTTCGAGGGATTCAGGTGTCACATGAACGCCTTAGCCATCGAACGGTGGCCTCCATGTATCTTGTACAAGTTAACAAGTTAACGAGATGCTTACAGAGGTGTGTACGGTGTTTCTGAGTCAAATCTGTTGGTAATGTCTATTTCATATAATGCTAGAAAGAACGTATTTGTCAACAAATCTAAATAAGGATACAAATCAACCCACAAATGAACTTTTCTCAATATCTTAAAATCAAAGTCAAATCACAAGTTTTGAAGATTAGTGAGCTGTTGTTCAAGATTCTCTTGTTTTTTATGATCAATTTTTAAACACTGTCAACCCTTTTGCAGCTCAATTCATCAACCTCCAAATCGACTAAGAATTTCCCCCTGAGTTGTGCGCAACCCTGTTATGTTACTTCCAGCTTTATTTGTTTAACGAATGAGTTTGTATTCGAGAGTTTTACTTAGTTGTGCTGGTTTGCCTCTGTTGGTCATGCTCGCATCTTACTTAGAACTCACCTGAAACGGGAACTGTAGAATTGAAAAAGTGTAAGTCATAATTAGAGGACTTTCATTATATATCGATTGACTTTCGCACATTCTTTCAGGTGGCTCTGGTTGAATAGCTATCCCCCAACCCTGCCAGAAGACCTGGCAGCCTTCACCCTCGTCGTAGAAGGCGACGCCGGACCACTCATGGTATCGCCGCAAGGAGAGCTCATCGCCCCATCTTCGTGTCCGGCCCAGCTATTTGTTGACTTCCTCGAACAAAACCTTGCCAGGACAGAACAAATTATGCTACGGTATGGCATATTTTATAATGTTTCATAACTTTCAAGACAACTGGTACATGTGGAGATGAGTTGATTTTAATAAACTGTAACAACATAATAAAAAAAATTGTACTACACGTTGGGGAGCGTTGCGGCTTGTATTACCAACCATAATTAACAAAAAATTCACGTTTCATGGACTGGCTCTTCAATGAAACCTTATAAAAGTTATAAATGTTGAGCGTCACATACTTCACTTTGGCAAAGACTATAGAAGCAAAGAAGATGAAGGCAAAGTTGCACCTTTTTATATGTTTGTTTGGAATTTTAGTGTGTATTACATTGTATATAGTACAGCTTAGATTTGACAATTTAAAGATCTAAGTTAAGGAGCAAAATTTTATAAATCATAAAAAGGTCTTTAGAAGACAAATAAAGCCATCGATTCCTTAGCTGCTTCAACTGTTATTTAAAACGTTGAAGGTGATAATATGACATGATGAATTTAGTGATCCACTTATTTAGTTCACTTCATTTGGACGACAAATTAAATCATGCAGACTATGGAGAGTTGACGTTGTATCGATATCAAGAGCTGTGTGTTTTCCTTATCATATCGATTTCTATTACAGACACTCAATGAGTATTCTTGAAGAGGAGGAGCTTCGCGGACAGCTTATCTGGAAACTTGGTCTGCGCGAGCTAAGCAAAGATGACACAATTTCGTCACATAGAATGGTGTGTACGAAAATCATTATTCAACTTTAATAATTCACTTATTTAATATTGCTTATATACATGTTTTGGCGATAGATATCTGTCTGCATGCTTTACCCATAACAGTTTGCATTCCAGGCCGTCGACGTATTCGTGTATATAAACAATATTTCCGCAGCAACGCTCGCGTACTGATTTTGGTGCGACTCACGTACTATAAATAGCTTATGATAGCAGAACTCCGGAGCATAGCCAAATTGGTGCGTGGAAGAATTTAACGAACGAAAATGTACAGTTGATCAAAACAACAGGCGTACTGGAGGCGGGCGGTTTTTTGGGGCATAGAGGTGATGGGTATCGAACCACTGCTGTACGGACAGTGAGTGGCAGTTATTTAGCTTTTTAAACCTAGCGAAAGGACAGATTGAACCCGTAAGGTCATGGATTATCTAGAAATACAGGCTTGTGCACTTTTAAACGAGTTTTGATCGTTTTTTTTTGTCTTATTTGTCACTCTTGTTGCGATTTTCATCTGTTTTTAGTTCTGCCTTTTGACTACTTGAGTCATTTTTACCCTATACTTAACTCGTAACATGACCTTCAGTTAAAAACAGTTTTCGTATTTTAGCCATTTTGCTTAATTTTTTGCTCCTGATAAAAGATTTATCGCTGTTTGTTGTGATTGTCTCGTGAGCCTGACACATGACAGTCGCTCATTTAGTTCGATCGAATCAAATAATTGACCAAATGTGTTAGATGGTAAGTGGGATAATGTTTCTGAAAATAAACAGAAAACTGTGTCTGCAATTGTATTTTTATGATTGCTTGTAATAATTATTACTATTATTTTTCCTATCACTATAATAACTTCGGATCTCAGTGAACGTAAAAAATTCTATTCTCCTGAATAACCACCCAGTGATAAACGAATCAACAGAATAATCGTCCAGTCATCTTACTTGCGTACAGATATAGCTTTGACAACTTCTTCCAGTATACTTGTAGTTCTCCTCTTCTAGTAATAAATAGTGCAGTTATATAAGTACTATATGTGCGTTCTAAATAGCATGGCCTGCCTAATGAACGCTTTATTTTATCATTTTCTAGGTAACTTGCTTGACAGATCTTTTAGCTCATTCTGATGAACTCTCAACACGGTTGCAGGAGTGCCATCTACGAATAAGCAACTGTTTTTCAGTACTGCAAGATGGAATCTTATGCATTCCTGCTAACTGGAAGATTTAGCGTAACACGATTCACAAGGTGCATCGTTGTTGACTGTGATTTCAGACAGTTTGAAAAAAACGTGACATGTGAAATTACGTTTGAGTGTTAAATATTATTATTCTGATGAGCTTTCAACAGTTAACTAAATATGACTATGTATAAAGATGTTGGGTGATTGTAAGTAATTAATTGCATCTGGTGATAAAAATAGTGAAACTGTGCTGATTCAAAAAGATTTTCTTTATGTTTTTCACAATGGCAGGCATAAAACAATTAAAGCAATCCTACTACATAAGTACGAAATTACTGAGCAGAACTTTCCTTGTAAAGTTCGATAATATTTGGTCCACGATGTTAGCGAGCTCTATAATGAGGGCTGTCTACATGCATAGATTGTCTGCTTTGGTAAAATACAGGCGAATGCTCTATTTAGAAAACGTTATGCGGCCTTTATTATTATTTATCTAACGATCTTAAAGAAGATTGTATATGCTTTTCGTGGCGATTATATGATCAATGCCATTCTTTAGAGCATCTAGGAGATATACAACATCCTAGTAGGCAAAAAAATTGACGCTTTTTGGACTTTCATTGTACATTACTTCTGCTTCATCACTGTAATTGTTGAATCCAATTTATGAAGAGAACATTGCAAATATAGAAGTCTGCTACAAATGTTGGAAGAAAAATATATGTTTCTTGTTGTTAAAGAATTATATTTGTTTTTAGAGAACTGTTATGTTGTCTGTTGATAATAAACAAAGACTTTATTACACATATTAGTCATACTTCATTTATATTCAACTGTGCATGCTTCATGCATTGAGAATGAAGCATGAAAAATATACAAGCATTTTCGATATGTTTTCTACTACACGGGCCTTTTCTTCTTTTTATTACAGTTCTTCCTAAAGATAGGTGAGCGGCCTCTGCTACAATCGCAGCCCACTCCCTTCATTTCCTATGCGCGCAAAAATTAAAGTATCTGCTATTTTACATAGACCAATAGACTGATAGAAAGCTCAAGAAATGCTCTACTGTAGAGCATTCTTGAGTCAGTGCAAGGATGAACAACAGGAATAGTACGTGTGACACGCAGTACGTAAGTTAGCCGTAACATGATCTAAAAACCTAATAATCGATTCTATCGTATTATAATTACTCCTATAACCATCGTCAATTATCTTATATTCAGAAATATTCTTGTTTGTATAGTTCGAAAAGGGACATTTTAGGAAACCACGTAATTAGTCCGTATGCATTCTACTAAGCAGTTAATGCAGTTAACTACTAAGCTTTCTTTAACTCTATGCAATATCAATATAATGTACGTTTTTGTAATCGCGATCTAAAATTCAGCTCCCTATCGATGAGGCATTTCTATAATATATGCGTACAGTTCTCAAGCAAGCAGACACTGATATTCTAATGCATTACGCTATACATGGAATACCAAGAGCAGTTACGCTGTAAGACCTTTATGTTTTCGCACATTTGTGTTGAAAAAGGACTTTATTTTGTTAGAATCTCAGAAATATTTGTGCTTTCTTATGCTGTGCGATATTTTCGTCGACTGATCCTTATCCACGAGTAGACGGCATTCTTAAATCGTCTCCGATAATAATAATCATAATTTTTAACGTGAATGTTTATTTCCCTGATGCCTCGAATTTCTACCCCGAACGTCCTCTTTGTGAAACACGTCATCACGTCCTTGTCTCCTCATCACTGAGCTGGACGTGGCATAATAAGCAAACACATTATTTAAAGCTACAGATGCACTGCATCTACGATCATTTATTTACAATACACCCACGCGTCTTATGGACATTTAATGCTACTAGCACGAGTAGCATTAAATGTCGATATGATAAAAATAATGGGACACTCTACTAGATTTTTCTTGCAACTTTTCCCGAGTCAGTGATTTCTATGCAAATCAAGATAAACTATTATGCTTCTTGTACACGTGTTAGAAGTGTCATTGACTATTTTTGACCCATAGGATCCAGAATTAGGCTCTGAACTAAACCACCTTTAACCCCTAGGTTTAAGCGGCTATTAAGTTTTATTGGTATAGTCTAATTTCTAATCACAATTGCCCGGTTGAAGAGCTGATTCAGCGTGTTTTTAGCTAACGGGTGAAGGCGATCCGTTACAACGCCGAAGACAGGTTTTCCGTTGCTATATTTTGCTCTATTAGTGGTATCACCTCGTCTTGGTGTTGTCTTCGCAATCAGCACTCAAACCATGACTCACTTGCGGGTATTCAGCCAAATCCGAGGGACGTTGATAGTGCCCGTAGTGACAAGAAGTGCATTTGCTATTCACTTCTTAGTCGTTACCAGGCTTGTGCCGATGTTATTGAATCGTATCAGTACGCCAACGCCGACTGGGGCCAAACACGTTAGTGTCGCTAGAAAACTTTCTCATAATGCCAACCAGTGGTCTGCAAACAGTATGACTGGCAGCCCAGGTCGAGCAGTTGCGACCGGGTTTATTGGCCGAAAGAGACCGACAAGGGAGGGCATCCCTCTGCAACAACGCTCTGAGGGTGGCATTAGCGTCGACAGTGGTTTTGCTGTGGCTATGATCGCTGCCATTGCTGCTGACGGTGTAACTCAAACTTCCCCACGACTTCCTCGTGATGGCCTCGAACATTAGACTATCTTGCAATCATCGAACGAAGAACAAGCGTCCAGATGTTTAGAGAAAAGCGGCGCCTTTCGGGCAGCAAATTTACTAAATGTGTTCAGTCAGTTGCCAGATAGCTAGCTACCTTTTTCACTGTACTCAGTCAATGCGCGCTGCTACTGTACGTTTAGCAAGCGAGCTTATGATGGACTAGAGTTTAGGGTGGTGTTCACACAGTGGGCGTACGGCAAGTACTAATCACTGTTGTTTGGATATAGCGCTTTGTTATTACGTTTTAGTTCACGTGACCTCAGATTTTGTTTACCTTGCGTTCCAAGACAGATATGCGGACCATTTATGGAAAGCAAGGACCGCAGTTTTAGCCGTGCTAGTTCATTGTGAGCCCGCCGCCACTCATCTAGTTTGTGCCGGCTATCATGTCCGCCCTGCGGGTGCTGCTGCTATTACTTTATATATTGGCTATCATGCAGGTCGCGCTGAAAGCAAAAAAAGAATTGGCATTACACAGCCAAACAGGACGTAGAAAATCGCGCCTTTGTCAACAAAAATCATCGGCGATTTCGTCACGACCGCACCTTGTTTGCCTTGATTCACCGCCACTAGGCATTCAAGCATGGACGATTACAGTTCTACAGTTAAAACTGGGATAACTTCATGCTCAGTCACAAAAACAGCGGGGACGTGTCAGTTTGATTATCATTGGGCTGATTAACAAGATAAACCGGTAATTTCCATGGCCTTTCGGAAGCGTGTAAAGAGCTTTTTTGATAAAGTTTAATGTTTTTCTTTGAAAGACTCTAAATGCTGTAGTTAGGTCGTAAAAAAGAAAGCGTGTGTGACTCATTAGAGGTGGAATTGGAATTAGCTCGTTAAAGTACAATAAAGAGCAATAATGCCTTTTTGGTCCACTGTAAAGCTTACATCCGCTCTTCTTGTGCATCGGTTCAAACAAGTCGTTCCATCCCATTTAAAATAAACATTTTAACTATATATACATGTATATCAAAGGGAATTTCATTATAATATGAATAAATAGTCCATAACTTCCACACTATGTTTATACATATATAGAATATGCAAAGGAATCAGAACCAGAACCTTTTGTTCTATTAAAACATATTATCAAAATCGTCCAAAAAGTTGTTCTTTTATTTTTATATATATATAGAAACAACGTGGGCGTAGTGCCGCTCGTGAAGTGGATTTAATCTGATTTGAATTCTGCTTCCCATGTCCCTGTTTTACGTATGCTTTTTTTGCTTTTCGACTTCCAACTGTGTTACTCAACAGCTTATGTGCTCACGACAGATGTGTAGGCAATCGTACCACTATGAAATAATTCCGCATTGAAAGGAGCAACCACGGGCAGTTTTATATGCAAGTTATTGTATGAAGCATTTATTATGGAAATAAAATGCATTTTTACTAGCAGCAACAATTAAATTTCATTCACCTCTAAATTTTACGAATTACTGAAACATTTATGAACCCGTAGAATAGTACCTTATATACTAGCAAAGGCTCCGCCTTCCATCAAGTAACTTACTGGGTGGCATTTAATCGTAAAGATCGAAAACTAAAATTAACTTCACGAAACAAAAAATTAACTAATCTCAAAGAAGCTAGCTCTGAAAAAATCCTTTTGTGACCGATCAATATGTCAGCCAAATGTTATAGTGGACTCAATGTACCAAATTTTTGCCAACCATATCAACCTGCCTACGGGTGGTCGACACTGAATCTAAAGTATATTCGTTTTAAACTGTGTAAGCTATTCTACAGGCATTTAAAGAAAAGCCAGCAACCTAGCGCGTAAATGCCTCATTGAGAATCCTTCGATACGTAGCCTTTTAGAAGACTATAAAGGACATAGTTTTTGAATAAGTCTAAACAACGAGCGTAATACATGAGCAAAAAAAAGACATGTCTACCTTCGATATGCTGATAAGAGAGGTGTTCTATAGCAAGTTGCAAGACTGGACAAGGTTGAAACAAGTACACATGCCCCACTGATTTTATGCTAGATGCACGTCAAGTATCTTTTTAAGTCATTCTATTTGAAATGGCAAGGGAACTAGAGTATTGTGCAAAAAAAAACGATTTATTTTTATGGGAAAAATAGACAATTCAGATTGTGGAGGTTAAAGTTTTCTCTTGTGGACCTAGCTTAAACGTTTCGCATATACGCATGCTCTAAACAGGGAGAATAATAGATCTCGTATTCATTTAACGTGACTCATATATGGCAACCTTGTAGTCACCTGGGGACGCCTTTTGGTTCTCTTGCCCTCGCGTGCCAGAAAAGACAGTACCAGGCATCAAGTAGGGCGTAGGGTTATAGTTGTTCAGGTCAAAAAAAAAGCAGGTTCAAAGTCAAAACAAAGCCTGTGTCAACTAAAAACCTAGTTTTTTCCTGTAGAAAGTTTACTTTTTCTCATCTCTGAACTCACACTCTTTTCTCTATAAGCTTACTTTTGCCCCAACTTATTTACCGCATTTAGTACCGAAATATATCCTTGTGTTGCTCTAACGGGATTGTGTTAACGCACTTTTCCCTAATAATCGCAATGTCGCAGCATAGGCAACATCGTTATGGCGATGCTATCGTTGGAAAAATGTACGGGACGGCCTGAGCGATGGTATAGCATCGCCCTCTGGGGACGTGATACAAGCCACCTGCGGCGGTGGGGGCCGTAGCCTGGTCCCACAGCCACCACCGCTGCCTTTGCTTTCCTAGGTGCAGCTTCACACACACTCTTGGGCTGGTTGTTAGGCTGGCATGCCTCCTTGCTTATCTGACTCGGCGTCCTGTCGCTCTTCTTGCTGCTGGCTAGCTAACAAGGTATCCCTGGATGTATGGCCGAAGTGAGGAGAATGCTGCCACAAAGTTTATCTATAAATGTGAAAAAAGAAAGCGCCATCTAAGAGCCTTTTTTGCAGCAGAAAGGGTCTTGTGTTTTCTACGGACAGCTAAACTTTGAGTAGAAGACGGGCCGATATCCTGTTCGCTGTTGGCCATGACAGTGCCTGTGGTAATGCTCGACCCAGAGCTCACTGGTCCGAAGTCCTTAATCGAATTAGTCAGGCCAGCTAGCTACCCCGTCTTTCGCTATAATAAACACATAAGGAGCGCCCTTGTCGGCGCGTCGATTGACATTATTATTATTGTTGTTGTTGTTGTTGTGATATTTGTTGTTGTTGTTGTTAATAGCCCGTTACCCTTTTCGCATACGCAGGTGATTCAACAGTATGGGGGGCCAGAAAAGGTATACCTATAGGGTTCAATCACAAATAACGCACTTCAATAGAAAGCATCAGCAACAAAGCGAAAGCACCAAAAAGTGTGTTTGTTTTCTGTTGTTTAATTATACATATATAATTGTTGAATCGCCGCTAACATGTGAACGCCGGACGTGTTTGTATTTGTCACTCTTGCGTTCGTTTGTTTATTCCTCATTCTAAGACTCCACTTGGAGTCCTTATAGGCAACCAGCACCTCTTTTTTTCATAACCGTATGCACCGCCTATATTCTATAGGAAGTGATTCTTCTTCTGCAGCTCGCCAGCTCGCCCGCGCAGTACAAATACTGCATACTGTGGGTTCAGACAGAATAAGAATCCGATATAGAACTATTATGAAATAGCTCACAAAATCGGCATCTATCCGAAATTTACTTAGAAGGATACTCACAGTGATATATGACCTAGCAAAGTCATTTGGCACTTTTTAGAGATATAGGGGCAGCGTAATGCGTCATGGCTGCAAGCTGTTTGCGTCCAAAAGCCGGGTTAGCAATGTGCTTAAGTATGGTCATTATTAAGTAACAACCAATTTTTATACTAGATTCTCTAATGTATGCCGTAATCAAGCTGTACTACGGATATGTACTGTAATAAACAGGTGCTTTGGCCAGTCCGTGCTATATATATATATATGAACGATAACATTAAGCACAAGCTTTTTTGAAATTTTCTCACAAACACAAAAGGGTGTTGCGACATTTATTCAGGTAACTGTTTCCAAAAAAAGATTGCGTTTCTTCCTCTCGCGTGTGTAGTATATCCGGAGAGAACGATTTGTTTTCTGGACTAGCAAGCAGAATGTACAATAGAAGGGGGAAAACCCCGGCTATTCTCAGCTTGAAGATTGTCTAATGCTTCACGCCTGTATGGGGGTTCTAGTTCACCTACTCGGGAACAACCTCAGACCGGCAACACAACTCGAGCAATGCTGCGCCGCTTCTTCACGAAAGTTACACAACCGTAAAATACGTGAGCGTCTCTACGACTCTTACGTATTCCCCTTCGGTTGCCACAGTGCCGAACAGTTGCTATGATGCGACCGGTGCGAGCTCGATCAGCGAGGCCAGACTTCGGCTATATCCGAGAACGGAACCTCACAGGCGCTAGTGGAAGACACACGATATCAACATTACGTTATTGTTATTGTTGTCGTCATGATGTACAAATATATTTATGCAGTAACAATAATAATATAGCCAGGATATCATACTTCTGTTTAAAGCACTTTCGTAATGGTTCATTCGCCCAAACACTTCGCCACGCACGAACTCCGCAAACCAGTAAAATGATGAAAGCAATCCGACAACCGCTATTTCCAGAAACATGATTTCACGGCAGCCGGCTAACGGTTCTCTATGCATTTTAACAAAAGCAAGTCGTTCGTGCACTAGTGATTTTCCCTTACGTTCGCATTACCACAGGGAGCGAACCGGTGCTACCCAATTATGGAGCACATCGGACTTCACAGTGTACATGACGTAGACCGATATAAGCTCTTCTTTTTCTTCTGCTCCTCACTAATGTTCTTCTGACCGCCAGACTTCGTACACGAGGTTATCTTCTTTTTCTGAAGTCTGCTTCGGCCCGTTCTAATGTATAGTTTGTTTCAGTTTACGTTGGCAACAGTAACAGGAAATGTGGATGGGAATATCGGAGAGAATACGTATGGTGTTGTTCATCAGTGGTCTAGTTGTAGGTTCCGTCCAGGGGTTTGTTGCTCATAGCAGTTTCCTTGTTGCCAAGATGCTCACCCTTGTCCATAGACAAACAGCCAGCACCGCCGCCGAAGCCATAACCTTTAGGACCATACTTACGGCCGTAGCACTGTTTGCAGAAGATATCACCACCATGGTCGCCTAAGTTAGTCGAGTCTAACTTCTTGTTGCAAAGGCCGCACTTAAAACAAGACTTATGGAACTTGTTTCCAGCGGCCAGCATCTCCTCGGCGGCGTACACCGACTTGCCGCATTTCGGGCATTTGGCCTGCTGTTGAGGTACGAAAGGCATTGTCGCGTAAGGCAAAGGGGAGGCTAGTACAATCGAACGGTGACAACTGTCCTTGTCGCGAGGCGGACCACTACAGGAAACCGACTGAAGCGTCCTTTGATTCGCCCGCGCCTATATTCAGTTTCGCCCTATGCTCGAGCCACCCGCTGCGCAGTGTGAGGGCAGCTATTGAGAGGGCGAGGTAAGCAAAGTCAATCTATAGCTCTACTTTCTCTACAACTACTACTGTTGTTAAAACTACTAATACAGTTATAGCTGGTAGCCAGCAAGGAAGCCCACTGGAAAAGACTCGGTTGGGGCGGTGCGTTGTGGAATGGCACAGGTCCTTCTAGCAACATTAACAACAGCGTCCGCGGCGGCGCCAAGGGAGCCAGCGGCCCTCGTTGGCCAGCGGCAACAGGCCAACGACATCGACAATAACGACAACAGCGATGCCGAGACTACAGCGTCAAGGGCGAAGGCACCGACCCTAACAAGATCAGTGCTGCATCAGTGGTGACTAGCCGACGGTAGTTGGTCTTCTTGCGGCTTGTGGGTTACCCATCCAGCACGCGGTTCTTGCGAGTTATGTACTGCGTGGCGGAGGTAATGCTTAGTTCCTCTGTGTGTAGCAGCGGGCCAACGCCCACTACGATTGGAGGCGCTAGAAGCCAGGGTCCGACTGGCAAATTCGGCTACCAAGACCAGTAGGAGGAACTGGCAAGAGTACGCACCTAGAGCCGGACAGGAGGAAGAGCGCTCGAGAAAGACTGAAAGAAAGGGAAGGAGAATCAAAAAGAAATAGCGAGTTGGGCCTCTAAAACGTGCGCCATCCGCCGAAAAACCAAAAGCCGCTGGCATTCTAAGGTATAGCCTGCATAAGCATTGGCGATGCTGGTTTGATGGCAACTTCTCGTAAGTGTTTGCTGACCGCCTTTATGTCGGGTGCGTCCCAACGGTCTCGCACGCAGTCATTCAACAATGTGACTAATAAAAGTAATTGAGCCTCGCAATACTCATCATATATATATGCGCCCTGGTCTTCATCCCACCGCTTATTTGATCTCCCATTTACTTACTATAATTTAACTGTCATTCAGGCTATTGTCGTCAACGTAGGTATTCAACGGAAGAGAAATAAATTTCGAAAGGGGTTTAGTCCAAGCTGCACGTTACCAACACAGCTCGTCCGCAAAACTAAACGTATGATGTGAATATTGTCACGGTCCGAACTAACTAGAAAGATCGTTCAATAGCAGAACGAGTTAATGCCTGTCCAAAACTCTGCTTCTACGAATACTCATGCTATAAATTACGAGCTTAGGGACCACATGATTATTAATCATATGTTGTATTATTTTATGTTACATTGAGGGCGGCTAGAGCGTGTCCCCGGTTCTCAGTTGCCGGCAGACCAAACCTCATGTATGTCAGTCTAGCTTACTTGGGACTGTTGTAGCTTGGTGCCTCCCGCTTACCACTAATACTTATTTGCGCTGCATCTCCTAAGAAGGAATGACTCGTGTGAGAGATGCTGCTTTAAATAGGGCGGACCCGAAAGTCACTCGTTCTAGAAAAGTTGCTCGCATAGGATTGCTTGGACAATCCCAACCAATGACGTTAATCATTTCACCGATGATAATATATTGGCTACTTCGGATTGCACAGTGTTCGTTCGAGAAGTTTGATTATTTTTACTAGTAAACGCCGTTTTAACTGATAATAATGCGATATAACACAGATATAACTAGAGAAAGCCACAGTCGATCTTTTAACAAGTGTTGCGTCCATTTTGTCTGCGAATTATCTATTTGGTCATTTTGATTTCATTTCTTTTTATTGCATGTCTCTGGCGAGTTCTATAAGCCGTATTTCGCAAGGCGGAACAAGGACAAATGCTATGGTTTTTTACACGGAAAGCAAGCGGTGGTCAACTAAACGAAGATTACGTTTTATTACCATGATAATATACATAAATAGCAGGCCCATTTAAGGACATAATATATTTTACTCAATCACCAGTATTCCAGTTGAACTAAGGGAAACTCCAGAGAAACTAAGGGAAATACCTTGCAGTGATAATCTCGTTGTCGCTGGCCTTTCAAAAATCATCCACTAAAATACGCATTTATTCATGCTAAAGCGCAGAACAGCGCTGAGAGGAACGCCTTTATTGTTGATAAATTTTAAAGAAGTAATCACTTATGACGATAAAGACCCTGCTTAGTTAGAAGCCTCACATGCTTGTTGCATTTGAAAGTCTGTTTATAGTGAATTATGTGCCCCATTCTTCTAAACTCTATGCTTATCTATAAATAAGGAAAGGGTATAGATTAGGTTCATTGTAAATACAGTTTGGAGGCTAAAACCCTACATGTCATTTATGAGACTAATTATAAAAACTGTTTGACCTGCAAATAGAAAAAGGTGCACTCTTAGCACGTATCCTTGCAAAAGTGCATCAAACATTCAGTTAATTCGTATTTCGAACGGAATAAACACTAACTAAATGGGCATGAGACATGTATAATATAAATATTTTTTAACACTTATTTTATAATTTTAGACTTTTTTACCTTTTTAAATATAGATCATTAACTATATTAAAGAAATCTACTATAATTCAACATTCTTGTTTAGACTTCCATGGATCTTCTAGGAGGCTATTCCGTTTTTTCTGTTTGCAACCCCGACTCCCATGAAAAGGTGGCGTAACGAACAGATGTAGGGTAGGAGAAGATCGAAGAAAGAATAAACAAGATCATTTACCCAGCCCATCATAAAACGGTTGTAGATCACACACCAGAGCATTCTTTGCCGCACCTAAAAAATTTCACTGTTCGCTATAAATAGTCAACTCAGGTAATGTTCTTTTGTTAACGGTACTATTTCTTATCTTGCTTAAGAATGGATAATAACATTCTTTTATTAAGACTCGGGACAACGGTGACGCTGTTCTTCTTCTTCGGCGGAAGGGAGGGCGAAACCTTGTGAGCCTAGTTCGCGAGAGCCGCTTAGTAAGAATGGTGAGGTATTCAGGGCAAAAATATTTATACTACCTTACTTTATTAAGAAATAATTTGCTTTAGCAACTGTACATTTTTCAATGAAGCAGGCACAGTAGAGCTTTAATCCGATTAAAGAAAAGTGTGCCCAATTTAGTCTTAAAAGCGCTTTGGTTAGAAAGTGGTGTGTCGGTTGTAACAAATTATAGAACGATCAATTCAGCCTCCATGTAGTACAAGATAACTGTAGTTTTACTCAAGTGACTATATATACATATATATACTCTTGCCGAATTTTAACACAAGGAAGCGGATAATAAACAAAATCATATTATTATTTTTTTGGAGGTACCATTAAGGTATTTATCAGCTTATCTGACTTACACATGGTTTTTCGATATCATGATACAACCTATTATATTTGCATTTTCAGTTACATTCATTGTACTTTTTTGCATGCTTTCTAGGTGATTCCTCTAGAATTGGCAGAGTCTCTATTTGTTTTGTTTTTTTTTACTTTTTCATTCACACAATTTGTGTTGTAGGTATGTGTCATTATACTCCAAGCAACAATGCCTGGTTACCTTTACTTGTTAAACCATTCAAGCCGCCCCACTGAGCTGTCCGAATGGCTTGTTTTTTTACCACAATAATTAATTCACCTGAACTTATTAAGTAGTTATCTTTGCAAATCAGAGTCATCAGTTGACCCTGAACAATGGATGTATATGACCGAGCATGTCTAGAGCATAGTATGCTTTAGCTGATTCGAAAACATTCGCTAAACTACGAGAAGATTATCTAGGAATTGCATTTAGCACAGCGAAGTATTTGGTTTCGCTATGTATGTGGCATATTGTTTCGACGCCGTCTTCTATTCAATTATTTTTTCTCATGATAAAATTGTTTCAGTTGAGAACTTTCGATCCGCCATACTAAATCCAGCCAAAGACTATATATAGTTTCGCATTCTCGGCATTTGGCTCGAGTAAACATAACAAAAATACATTCATTCGTCCAATGTGGTACCGCTGTTCGATTTATTTACAAATACCGCTAACGGTGAGCGAACATAAGGTCTCAAAAGTTGTGTTCAACATGAATATAATTTTTTGTTCTTTATCTATAACGTCATCGATACTCAGATAGACATTAAATGTTTAGTATCTCGGATGCCATAGATCGTAAAAATCTTTTGGATGAATTCAATGGTCTATTAATGCGGCAAAAATGGGAAATCAATTACGTACTTGAAACTGAATTTTTCCCTAATTTTTTAAAGACTTAAAAATTTAGGACCTGTGGTGTAAATGATAAAATATGATTCTTTACGGTTGAAGAGTTCAATACGGTTACGTTGACCAAAATCCATAAATTCGTATGTATGTAGTTAAAATCATTGTGTTCTACTAAATGTGGTTAATAATCGTTTTTTCCTGGTTGTACTTTTGTTTTTAAGGAGACCAAATCATTATGTTACATTATATATAACAATATAGTTCATTAACGAAGGCGAAAAATAATATTTTATTATATTAAAGTATCTTATTATATATTATTACAATAAATATTTCTAAATGCATGCTTGAAAAATATTATATTCTTGAGCCTCATCTTAGAAGTACTTCAGCTTGCCATTTGTCATTCTATTAAGGCAAACAGAGACATATTAACGAAACGTGTTGGCTTTATTTCAGGCAGATTTCTATGCTTCGTGCACAACGTGTGGCATTAAAACGGGGATACCAATTAAAATGCAGCGTCTAATACAAAGTATCCGTTATGCAGCGGCCATAAACCTTCCCCATGCTGTCCAAATATATCCGGTGCCGGCAAGTAACTTCGCAAGAATTCTTTCTTCAGAGGTCGGTCAGCAGTTTTTTTTAATTAGATGTATAGTGAATTTTCAATCCGATATAATTAAAACATAGGGTTGTGCAATATTAATAGATTTGATTTATTCATTTGTGGCTAGCGGCTATCTATAGTATAAGTCCCGGATGAATTAACTCCAAAAATGTTTGTAGTGTGAGGTAATTATCTAGCTTCTATGTTAAAAATTATAAATCTCGTTATTTACGCTATTGGTTCTGTTGTAACTCAAAATGAAATCAAGTGAGAATTTTCGTAAAAATGTTTTGGCACTCTTAACATGAAAGTGACCTTCTGTACAGCCTTGCTATGTCCCGCCTCAGTGCATCTTCGCTACCAATTGCAATTGCGGAACAATTCTAATGCGACTGTATTGTTACAAAGAGATGACACAAATGCCACTAAATAGCTATAATAATTTTTATTTATAGGCCGCCAAACAGAAAAAAACAGAGTTCATTCGCTTGATTGACGAACATGGCAAAGGACTGGGAAAAATGTTGAAACCTGACGCTGAGTCTCTCGCAGCGAAAAAACATATGAGGTAATACTTCCTTAAGTTGCTCAGTGTGTTAATCTATATATTTCTTATAGAATTTTCGTTTTGTAGGCCTTTGTAGTAGATGTTAAATATGTAAACGAACAAAGTTGGAGAATTAACACCTTAGCTTACTCCATTGGTCTCATTAAATGTGTCTCACTTTGATGGGCAGCCTGATACGTGTCGAGGACCAACAGATATCTCAAAAGACGCCTCTTTACCAGCTTGTCCTTCCCAAGGCGGCCACCACAAAACTACCAAAACAGAGCCAGAGCAAAAAAAATGAGCCTCCAGTAAGTATTCACTGACAAAAAAACTTGGACGAGAATCTTTCATTATATATATTTCAGAATACGGACATTATACTTATAAAACGAAAGTCTCTTATGGCCACAGAAAGTAACACGAGGTCATTGTAATGTACTACAAGCATGAATTTTATATTTCATGTTTTAAGTTTATAATTGTACAATGATGTGGGGGCAATACAGCAATACAATAACCTCACTTTATAAAGTATTTTAGATAAATGCTTGGAGTTTTATGTCCAGTACTGATATTAAATATTAATTTCGATGGCTGGCGAAACCTATCGCATTTATAACTGTAGCACGCTAAAAAGTTAGCGTCGCATTGCGTTTTAATGAACATTAGTCGAAATAGCAGAGGTTGCGGGCGGGCTTTTAATATACTCAAATCGTTATTAATAATTTAAAGTTTACGCGGCAACACGATCACAGGTCGAGTTTGGATTATAACTGTTAACGTTGTGAACATTTCAGGATGGATTTTCTATTACTTGAAAGAAGCACAGTAAAAAGCTAAGTATTTATTAATGGGTGTGTGGTTCATTCTACCCCTGTTGATAGCAAATAGAGTTTGGTTAGATCTAACTTGTTTCACTGACCAAATTGTACTTAATGTGATCGTTAAAGGTGAAAGTGATCCAAATGAGTGTAAAGATTGGAGAGCACGATATGCGCACAAAAACGAAACAGGTATCGAATTGGGTAGCACACGGAGCCGAGGTTCGAGTGGCTATTATTGGATCACCCGAAACAAAGGATGAACTTCTAGTAAGCATTCTGATCGTATCTCGTCTGTAACACGTGTGTGAAGAAAAGAAGTTTTCCAAAAAAGACGACGATTATAGATAATTAATAAGATAAATAATAAAAGATATAGATGATGTAATAGTTTACAATGTGGTTCGATTTATTTACGTCATCTGAAAGAAAAAAAAATAAACAATTACTTTGTTTAGGCTATAATTGTCGATAATTGTTTGCAGATTTATAAGTTTGAAACGGCTGATGGAGCTGAGTTATTTGAATAATTTGAATTAGGGCCAAGCGGTAAAGATGAGCAAAGGCACTGTATAAAAGTATTTCCAAGATGAAAAAAAGTAGAATAAAATTCCAAATTCCTTTTTGCGTTCTATACCACTACTTCCACATATACCATACTGCGTCTAATTATAAACATGACTTAATGTTATGTTGCAGGAAGCTGTTTTCGCTAACGTAGAAAAACATCTTGAAGGCACGCCAATGCGAATTCTCCAAAAACGGATTGTAGCAGGCACAATGAAATTCAGTATATTGGCCCCGAAGAAAATACCTGATAGTACCCACAAACAAAAGCGTGACAGTCAAATTACTCCACAGGATTGACAGCATTGCAACCAGAGGAGAAAGGAAGAGTGCCATCTGTATTATGCATTAGATAGCCCTATAATACATATACCGTTGCTTGGAATAATCTTAGTATACATTCTCGTGCCCGAACAGATTTGTATAGTTTGTTCGAATGAATCAGGTGGCGCCATTTTATTACAAAGTGTCATTATTTATCAAATCAATTTGCAAAAAAAGCAGATTGTGCACAGTAGATATTAACATTTTTTTTTTTCATAATTACTGTGCTTGCAATGCTGCTGTAGTTTCTTGATCTCAGAATAAAACAATAACAATATATTACCAAATTTCCAATTTGTACAAAGTGGCCATTTGTAACGCAATCTGGAGGAAAGAACTGTTTGCCAAGAATCGATATGCATCTGAATATTACTTAACAAAGCCTCAATAATATATTTGCCCTGGATTTACCAAGACTTACAAAGGACAGTGCCTTCCTCGACTACACTGACTATCTTAACTTCTCTAAGGAGCAGGCAATTCAAGTTGAATATTTGCCCATTCTGAACATCAAATATTTATAAACATGCCCATCAGCATAGCACCAAGTTCAATATAGCGGCACTCTACGTGTAAGCAACGTAATCCAAAAATAAGTAACATGCCAGAAGTTGCTTTCGGCGTACTTGATAAAAATTAAACAAGTCTGTCCTCTGTTTTAATTTGTGAGTGAACACCGGCGATGCAGATATTAGATGTAGGAAATAATGATTCTCTTAGAAAATTAAAAAATATTTCTAGCAGTTTTCTTTATTCCCTTCTTATGCGTACGTAGTTCATTCCGAAACGATACCCAAGTACATCACATCATATATACATACGCTATTACTATGATGTATATTATCCAACACTTAATCATGTTGATATGCCGTTTTTCCTGACCACGTCAATAGAATTTAGCCATGCTTACATGAGTCTGATAAAATCGAAGCTTTCTTTCGTCTGAACCGAATAATTTCTCCGCTGTGCCAATATAGTTTTCATATATTCGCAAGCTCTCCGTGCTCACCCACGGCTCCTTGATTTTGTAGATGCTGTCCTCACTGTCCAGAAAGCCACTACTAAAGTTATCATTAAAACTGTCCATATCGGCGTAGCGTTGATACACTGTTGTGCTCCGGATGGAGGGATGACTAATTTCAGCCCCGTAAGTCTCCTTCATAGAGCGGAATACCTTTTCAAATGTGAATGGTTCAGGACGAATGATTGCCAATTGTTGTTGAGTCATCCTATCCCTATGCTCCTGGCTTCCCACAGGTATGGTATCAGTTCTTTGCAAGATAAAATTATCGAAATCGTCGCTGTCCGTGTCCTGATCATCATCATCTTTTTCATCGTCATCTTCTTTTTCATTTTTCGAGATCGATGCTGTACTATCCCCAGACAGACTTGGATTCTGAGGCATATTGTCCTCATGCGGTCTACCGGGGGTAGAAACCGCGAACGGATTAGGGTCCTTGGTCGTCATTTCGGGCGTACTGCTATAGACAGCCTCAAGAGCGTTGAGCTCGTGCGACCTGTACTGGTCTTGGAAGGCGTCGACACGTTCATCGTAGGACGGCAGCAAACATATATCAGTAACAGCCCGATGTTTGTGAGTGGTCTCGAGTGCAAACGGTAGGCTGAGTAGAACTTCTTCGTCGCACCACATTGAATACGGCGGTCGATGACAGGGCACTCGACCAGCTGGCACGGAATTATGCAAGTAATAATCACTTCCGAGATCCCACAGGTTCTTGGCTCCATCTTCGCAGCGATAGATGCCGAGGAACACGTCCATTGCATCCTGTTTCTCGCGATCGGAAAAATTGTTGTTGTAGTATCGAGATAATGTCATGTAAATGTCTCGCGACTGTGTTGTTATCTTGGAGATTTTGCGGTAGGTCTTTACGCGATGCACCAGTTGTGATCCACCGTACTGTAGCGCAATGATATCGCCGTGATTTTCATACAATTCCTCTAGTTTACTGGCACAGTCTGTATCAAAGTCAACCTTTGGTTCGGGGATCACTCTCAGCGCGTACAGTTGGTAGCCGAGTGCGCAACGCCCAAGCGCAAACTGTGCTGTATTCGTTCTGTCAAGACAATCTACACAGTTCACACGGGTTACACCCGTCTGAAGTCGTCGGCCGTCTTTTGTCGTCACCCCGCCAATTGCCTTAAGATCTTTCCGTGGATTGCAATTTGCCGTGAGAAATATCCCGTTTCGTTTCAGCGTGTACTGCGCAATCACAGCCAGCTTGGTCATGACGTTACCATCCTTTTTCTTGTTTTGCCGGGCCATGTCAAAGGGGATATGTTCAAGCTGATTGTCTTGGGGCAAAAACTGACTCAAATAGTCGGTTGCCAATTGCATTTCGTCACGCAGTAACGATTCATGCTTCTTCTTTTCTTTTTTCTTCACCAGATTTAAAATCATCACGGGAGACCCGTAACGCTGAAACACTTGAGTAAAGTGCATTCCAGCAACGGCATAATACGGATCAAAGATATCAATGTTAATCTGGGGCTTAGGCACATATTTAATAAATTCCTGGGACCAATGTGCAGGTACAGAGCCCCGCATCTGAACATAACTAGAGAACAGGCCATGCTCAAACGATGAAATGGAACTGTCATGTAATATCTGCTCCGTTTCGACCTCATTGGCAACGAATCCTTCAAAATTCGCTCCACGTTTGAGGTACCTTGGGCCAGCATACTCCCGGGATCGTCGCGCAATTAACGTTAGGTACAATGGTCTGCCGTAGAATGCTATGTTTGCCTGACCAACAAATCCGTGCGTGATTAGCAACAGCCAGTCGCGCTCAGCTCCGGCCTGTTTGAGGGGCTCGAGCAGATATGAATTCCACACGAACTTTTCATTGGGTTGCAACCGTCCGGCAAGAACTCTACCATGTCCCGACTGGGGATATTCTATATGAGCTTGTTTTCCATTCTGAGAGCCAAAACGCGGCCGAGGTAGATCGCTAATCACGGAGCGCGGCTCATCTGCGGCTGCCAAGACGTCCCATACCGGCAGATCCTCGACTTCTGGACAAAGAGGCGCTAGATGAAACTGAAGCGTGTGAGTTAGATCGTAGCTGTAACTAAAGTAAAAATTTGAGCGGAGGTCAACAGTTGTGAACATCTTGACATAACGTGGCTCATCGGGATGTTGCGGTGGCTTCGATGGAATATATTTCATCACTGTCTCTTCGATCTTATAAATAGCGTGCTGTCCAATTGCAGCAACCTGCTTGCGTCGTGATATCAATATCATATAGTACCTGCAACGATAGAAGAAAGCACAAAAAATAAAAGCAGAAAAATATTTGATGATGATTTTCTTGCTACCACTTTTATACATGAATAAGATGATTACCATTTATACTGGAAATATTCTAGCGACATGTTCCAATACAAACAGGTATGCTTACGACACATAGCCCCTGGCAGCAGATGGAAGACTCGTAAGAAATGCAGAATTTTTCTATTACTACATAACTTATAGCTGTAACTAGAAAGGCATGTCAGATTACTTAGCATACTGCGAAGCACCACGTTAACGTATGCCCCTTTCTGCTAACTTGCGACAAGCTGACTTCACTGCAGATATTTTTCGAGCCGTGTAAGTCAGATATTATAACTGTTTTACCAATAGCAAACTTGGCTCTACAATACAATCGTGTGCTATAATATTAATAAGCAAATACATGTTATAATTTGTCGAACAGAAAAAGCAAAAAATAATTGTAAGATTCACCGCAACCCATTAATGAACTTACCCTTCGAGAAATCGGACCAGTCCCACCACGCCGTAGCACGAGAGCTTTTCGCACGCTCCGTCCGGGTTGATCCGCTTGACAAATTTGTGTATGTCATCATTTGTGTATCGTACGGGGTCATCAATAACCAGCAGTTCGGTGTCTGAACGATCAAAATGCAACACCCGAAATGAAGTAAGCGCATTATTTGAACCGATTAAGTACATTTTGTCTTTGGCTTCATAAAGCATCACCTTTTGAATTGGAGATATGAGAGGACATAGGATTCGGCCCGACATCTCGGCCATTGCCCATCAGCCGCAGCAAGAGCAACAAGGGATGACAATAGATAACAGAGCTAGAAAAAAACGTCCACAATTGTTAATACTGATTTGGTCACGTTTAAGGTAGACTTGCTAGCGCAGATGCATATAGTTTTTGCTGTAACTAAGAGCTTTATTCATAACGTGGCTAAAAATGTTGTTATTAACTGGGACTTTTGAGCTTGGATCATACGAAAAATACTAACCAAAATACAATAACATTTTAATACATGCAGACAGAGGAAATTTGCTGATTGCAGCTCGCTGCATTTCTTAAGGTTTTTACAATTTCTTACAATATAACGGATTCAATCGAATAAACTTTTAGCGGGCATCAAGTTGTAATACATATTTCTGCGCTGACACCCGTGAGCTTATTTCCCTTCGTTTTAACGTGTGTAGGGTAATTATACAACAAGAAACGTCGAATTAAACAGAGGAAGCACTAGTGGCGCTCACGGCAACGTACATCCAATGTCAAATTGGGAAACATGTACCACCTTTGCACCGTGCCGCCACACGCTAACGTGCTAACGATAATGTTCGTATATTTTAGACTTTTGACTTTATGGTACGAATATTTGACATCCTTTCATCAATATCTTGCTCATTTCCTAAATTTTGCACGACACATTTACAATAAGGTCGAGGTCAGGTCATTTAGCTATTATGTATATATACTTGCTACTGGCTTAGGAACCGTATTAATAGATTATAGTTAGCAGATGATCCCGGAGCCAAATGCAATAGATATCCTGCGTGTTTTCAGATTTATTGTTCATACGAATATGGACCTGCGGACCTGTTGTATTTGTAATAAAATTAACACACATCATAAAGAATGGTGCCCTAGAACTATAGCTCCGTGCCCTGTTTTCACACTCTGAGTTCTAGCTCAAGTTTTAATCGTAAAGAAGTATAGATGGCCAAACACAATTAATACTTTAAAAGGCCTGAAAATGAAAAAGAAATGCTATCGAAGCGAAAAACAGTCCGTTTGTAGTATCATTTATTTACACATCAATTAAATATAAAATTGCTTGATTTATTGTGCGCTGCGGAGTAATCACAAATGGAATTATGTTTTGCGGGCGGAGTTGCCGAATGGTTATTATTACTATTCAAATTTTATAGCTTACCCGTTCGCTGAGAACTTTGATTGCGTCTGACACGTAATATCAACAAAACTATTCAGGTGCATCACATATAAATACACAGCTGAGAATTGTCACTCTTGGTTTCAGTCAAAAACTGATAGCCACTGACTGGTTAATATATCGATACAGTTGTTTAGAATGGAGTGTGTGGGATAGAGCAATTCGCGGCGTCCATTAGAGCGCTATAGGAGGCCATACGCATAGAGCTATTTAGAGAATATCAAGTTCTTTTGAAATATAGATGGAAGAAAAATATGAAAACGTTAGCATATCTGATGTAGTCTAAAGTAGGTTCTCGTGAAATGATACGTAACACACAGTGTCCTAAGAATAAGTTTTACATTTGTGTGGTAAACTATTGTTATATGAATTCATTTTAAATGTTAAAAGTTTCGCACGCGGTACTGCCGTTAAATATTATTTAATGCACGCTAAAAAAAACGTAGTTCATTAGCTTGGGCATAAACAATACCTTTATCTTAAAAATATTTCATATTTTCCAATAGATGTTCATCCTATGAGTGCCTGTCATCTTTGGTGATCAGTATTGCCCCCATTTGATGAAACGTTTTTCCCGATCTTAAAATAGATTCTATGCAGTATGCACATATTATCGCAGTCTAGGATAATAGAAGATAATTAGAAAAGCTTTTCTTAAGATTGGTTATTTTTTGTCTGCCATTCAGATTTATACTTTTCATGTTAGGAACCTGCGTACTTCGACCAGAATTTTTAGTCCTTTGGTATGGTCACTGATAAAGCAGGGTTTAAGAGCTTTAGGGGTTATTTTACTTATCTTTTCAATACATAACCTTGCAGAGCCAAACTTTATATAAGCGATGTGCCGAAAGGGGCATTCTGTTGTTATTTTCGAAGTCTCAACTTAGCTTTTTTTTTATCGGACTGCATTAATGAGGTCTGATCGTATCGCATAATAAATTCAGCCGATTTTATTAGGCATGCACATTTGAAGATTACGCAGCCGTAACGTAATGACTTAGTATACTGAGGGACCGGGTCTAACGCTATGATTAAATTGCTTGAATAAGCTTAGCTAATTTGGGTTTTGTGCTTAATACTTACCCTGGTCTAGTTAGATGTAAAACTGATAAAGTACTGGGGTATAATGTTAACATGTTCACCATGACTAAGCTATTGTCGCTGAAATCGGATGTAGATACACTTCGCTTCATGCTGGCTTCAAGCGATTTGAAGTAATGCCTAAAAACTTAAATACCGTGCGCAAAGCTCAAAATATAAAGATTTTTTTCGAGCAAACGCAATTTTGGAGAGCATTTTATATCCGACCGTTGCGATCTGCCACAGGCCTAGGTAGACTTTTCAAACAACTGTACGTCGTATAGTTTGCAGTCTTAGCGTCATTAGTAACTTAATATACTTAACCAGTAGTTTTAAGTTTCCCATTATAGCTGAAATTGATTTACTGATTATGATGCATACATTGTTTAAATGAAAACCGTCACGTTCGTCATCTCTGATATTCGCCTGTTCCTTGATCCAGTTTGTTAATGGCATCAGTCGTATTCTAAAAAGCTTCGTTTTAAATCATTTGGCTCCTTCCACTGT